GATCTATATGTTTATATTGTCATGGTTTCTTAAATCTATAATATTGTTTATATATATAACGTACCTATAGAGTCTATATCTACAATACACGTGATTACATATAATCTTTAGGATGCATTTAGTAATCTGATAGAGTAAAAACAAAATCACGTACTTATGGAAAACAGCTATAATATATGTATATTTACGACATCGCTTCCAGGAGTTTTATCTCAACGTTGTCAAGCAATACGGCTATGAGGCAAATACGCATAGACAAATTATAACAAAATAACTGAAACCACACATTACAACAACAATATAGTAAGTAGGAAACTAAAGCAACCAGAGTTTGTTGCACATACAGAATTAAATATACATAAAAGATAATTAGGCCTATAGAAGCTATATCATGTTCATAATGAATTCTTCCGGTGTGCTATTATAAATAATGGTGATAACTTCTGAAATGCAGACTTTAAGCAATATACATGTAATTATAAATATGTAGCTATTTGCACCGAATAGCTTAAAATGGTACTTGATCTGGATCCAAAATAAAATTGTCAGTTCCGTTGGATTGTATTTGATTTACTGTATAATAGGATGATAATACGCTTTTATTCAAATTTTACGACCTTGGATAAAGCTAATGTTGAAATATAACCGATCACGTTTTCAGGTGTCGACACAAAGCCAAAATTGAAGAGATTCTGTCCACACCTGAAAACGTAATTTCAGGTCGAGATATAAACAAGGCCTGTGTTTATGGTTACTTGGCCCCAAGAAATAGGCACGGTTTGTATTATCTGTTTCCTAGTATTTCTAACTTAATTAATTACTGGGTGAGGTCCTTGGAAATAATACAAAAATTACGTGTTGGAATCTGTCTAGAGAAAATCACGCCAAGACTGAGTTCTGGGAAATTAGAGAAAACAAGTTTAGGGTCGGCGATTTTGGCTTTAAAGAATATGGTCGGTCGGGCAATTGTAAACACGGATATTTTTTTTTATTTTGACTTAGACAGAAAAAGAATTGAAAACTTTTCAGGTTAAAACGATTACCCGGTAGGCTATATTTTTTAGTCTAACTCAGGTGGCCTAAACTTATTATTTGGACGAAAAAATAAAATGAAATGGGGTATACGCATCGAGTTATATATACTATAGAAACTAGAGTCCGCACTGATCACGTGACAGCGTGCTGACACGGGGCCTTGTCCGCCATGTTAGTTCCGGGGAGTTGACGCTGACGACAGTGACGGCCATTAGATCTTTTAAATCGTGTTTTATAATCAATATGCCAGAAAGTTGCTGCTGTTTTGGCTGCTCAAACACCCGAAAAGGGGTAGTGGAATAGCGTTTCACAGGTTAGATTGATTTATCAACTGTACCTATCAAAAATCGGTCCATTCTTCTACTTGCACTGGGTTAGGGACAAGCTCATTCCAATGTAAACGTCAATAGGCCTACTCAATAACAATCGAATTAATGTCATTAATTTGATGTGAAAACCTAATCTAAAAGTCATTTTAAAATAAAAGAAACCCTTTTTAACTACTAAATCTTTATAAGAAACTTAAAATATATAATAAATTTTCATGTCATAATATTTTTCTAAACACAAACAAGTTCAGCTGAACAAGCGAAAACAAACAAATTAACCTAATGAAGAATGAAATGGGGTTTAACGTCCTAGCGGCATAATGAAGACGGTCATACACCATACAGTGTGCTCTAAGGGGAATTTTGCCCGGACAGCAATTGAATTCCAACTGGCAAGGGTTCTTTACGTGCACGCCAAGGTATAGGCCTACACGGGACCTCGGTTTTTCGTCCCATCCGAACGAAACGCTGTCTCTGCAATGCTCCCCGAAAACAAACACTCATAGTCATTACTCAACCGCAACCTCACACAACTAGGCCCTGGGCGCCTACACCCCCCCCCCCCCCCCCGCACACACACCCACACACACACACAATTTGACACATTTAACACCTTTTTTTAAAAAAAAAAATAATATTAAATTATACAGCCACCATATCTTCTAACTCGTAGGCCTATGTGTCATAGAGTCAACTGGCGGGGTTTCGATTCCCCGGTTGTACGTGACAAGGAGTAGGGTCGCCTGTCCAACCTCGTGGGTTTTCTCCAGGTCCTCCGGTTTACTCTCACTGCTAAAGACCCCTACGCGCAAGCGAATTATTGAAATAAAAAAATTAAACCAGGGCAATTCCACGGTAACGGACGAACATTTTGAACTCGCCATATTTTTATTACTTCCAATATGTTCTAACCATAAATAATTAACTGTTTGGGTTTTATATAGCATTAAAGACATATGATTTCAGTATCAATTGACATATAATTTAATCTATTCATGAACACTGGAAATAAATATTGGTTCTTCAAAGTATAGGTAACGGACATACAGAAATGGACAGTCACCATGATTTGCCTGCATGAACATAGTTTCAAAACTCTGTGAATTGTCTTGTGGAATTTAAAAGTTTTAATCCTTTTAAGAAAGGGCACTAATACTACATGTACATGTGTACTGCATAATCACTTCTCACATTTGGATTCTTGTAACCCAGTAAATTAGAAATTATTGTGGTAACGGACGTACATATTTTCTGGTAACGGATGTAACCCATTACATTAGATATGTAACCTTACAAATAATCGGACTTACAGATAATAATAATAGTTAACTCATTTGAATTAATGGAGCAGTTACTTTCCTAAAAACATTACTCCTTGAATGAAATATTGTGACCCTAAAATTTTGGCAACGGACGTACATTTTTACCCTAAAATTTTGGTAACGGACGTACATACATCTATGAAACCCTAAGTAATTCAGAGAATTTTGGCAAATGATTTCTTTTTACGGTCATAGTAACAAGAATGAATGATGTTATTAGCTTTAAATATGAGTTTTTGAACAGTTCCATCAATAAATATGAATAAGAGAGATAAAATGTAAATATTTGGTAACATGAAATACTGTGAAAAGTAACGGACGTACATCTATGAAAACCCAAGTTATTCTGAGAATTTTTGCAAATCTTTTCTTTTTACAGTCATTATAGTAAGAATGGGTTATTATAGCTTTAGATATGAAGTTTTAAATAATTCCATATAAAAATATGAATGAGAGAAAAAGAAATGTAAATATTTGGTAACGGACGTACATTCTCATAGTGATATTTTTCAATGTTGGTTACCTTCACAAAAATATATTACTTTTATATTTTAATGTTTAAATATTATGTTTATATACATTGTCAGATAATTAACTAATGCCAAATCATTCATTATGAGCCAGAATAATCAAACAAACACAAAGTAAGAAAATACAATAGAAATATAAATTCGTCATTTACAACGTAAACCTTGACACAAGACCAAATAAAACAAAAATGGAAGAGTCTCCACCCAAATTGAGATTTTTCTTCAAAATATGGATTATTTCCCACCATAAGACACTATTTTTGTCCACTTATCAACTAATTAAATTTTTCACCTAATTGTATTACTTTAGCGTGGAATTGCCCACCATATGCCATATGTTAGTCCCAAAATGACCTAGTTTGAGTCGAGTGGACGTTAAACCCCATTTCATTTCATAAATATTTTTTTCATTCCGGAAACATATTTCATTTATTGTTGTTGTTGTTCTAAAACTATTCATTTCTCTACAGGCCATTAATTTCTCTTCACTTTTTCAGTTCCACAAATTTCTAAAAATAATTAACAAATAAATAAATACCGGTAAATAGAAATACAACATTTTACGCAGGCTATTAATTTTTCTTCACTTTTCATTCCCTAATTTCCTAAAATAAAATAATTAACAAATAAATAAAAATACCGGTAGGCTACATAATAATTCTGCGGGTTATTGATTTCTGTTCACTTTTATTGTTAAAAAACCCCATTCATTTCTCTACACTCTTTATTATTTAGTTCCATAAATTTCTAAAACATTTTAACAAATTTACTGTATAGGAATAATTATTGTGTACATTGCACTAATTTAAAAGATCAATATTTTAATAAAAATTAAAAGAGAAAGCGAAGGTAAGTACAAGTAGGTAGACGCAGAGAACCTGCGGTCGAGATCGCTGACATGTCAAATTAAAATGTTCTATAACCTTTACTGTGGAAAGTGGAGCCCGGAGATAAGTCGGTCCATGGATCTTTATTATTATTTTTATTAAACAATAAAAATTTGGGTGAGAAAATTTAAAAATTTAATATTTGTGCACATTTTAAAACAGTTTGACACAGATTGATTGATGCGATAACATAGTAAGCATCCGGGCATTTACGTTCATACTCCCCGGAACTAACATGACGGCCGTCGCTCCATCCCGGCACAAACCTTTAACGTTGTGGTCATGGGGGTCACGTGATCAGTGCGGACTCGAGTTTTTATATATTATAACTCTATGGGTATACGTCGTACTTTTCTGCACCCACTTACAGGGTTGAGATAACCCCGTTTCGTGCATAGCCAAAATAACGTCGTGCAGATGGGGGAAATGTGGTACATAATATAGGCAGGCTTACGTGACAAATGTTTCAATAATGTAAGAAGTTGTGTTTTATGTCAGTTAAAAAATAGAAATGGGGACCAAACGCCCATGACAGTAAGGGGTCACGGTTATGCTCATGTCGGTGTTGGCTTTGAAAATTCTTCGTTATTTTCCAGTGTGTTTCGCTTTGTCAGTGGTGCAGGATGCTAGGTCCGACAAGGAACGGTGTCTAGTTGTTCGGATGGGGCAAAAAACATAGGTCCCGCCTCTGCCAGGACACGATTTCCCGCACAGCACACTTCATTAAAGCCCGGTTGGTGTAGAAAAGTAAAGGACTTTAACCCCATTTGATTTCATACCAGAGTGTGTGACAGTGGCGTCTCTGCCAAACTTTTGATGCAAAGGCGTGGCTCAACGCTGTCCTGACCCTGACAAACTTTAGCACGCGCGCTCTACATTTATAATGGAAGGGAGGCAACTCCATTTCCATGAACTATTTCGTTTCGTTTCTTTTAAACGCGAAGGAAGTCTTTAAAATTTGAGCGCCACCTTCACGAACATTCTGAAGTCGCAAGTAAACATTTCAACGCCGATTTTAACGAGTCGGTAGAAGTAAACATAATTCAAGATGGTAAGTGTAGTTGCATGATATTGTCTTCAGTTGCGATTGATATTACAAAGTGGTTTACTGTTACATGGGCTTAATGACCTAAAATTGTAGTAATCGGTGAACATTCGACATTTCTTCCAAAACACGTGTTTCAACCAGTCTCGCGTGTAGATGACATTACAGTCATGATATCAGTCTCAGACCGGTCAATGTTTTTGTTCGACAATAACATTGGTATCGAAAGCCAACATAGACACCAATTTCTGTTTGATTATTAGTATTATATATAAAAGAAGCCTTTTATTTGCATAATGCAAGAGTAGGCTAAAAGCTTAGGCCGTGTTGAATTGATTCCTTGTTTCTCCTGCCACCACTCTGGCAATCATGTGCGGTAAACACAACACAAAGTGGGTTTCAAAACACAAAGTGGTCTGGCATAATACCTATATAGTCTGAGGGTTGTGTACCATTTTTAATAATATTATAAATAATCTACTGTCTGATTCATCGTAAATTTTAAACGGATTTCTTCGATTATGAACAAACTACTTAACGTTGGTTATTATAAACTTACCTGTGTGTTTGTAATGAACTCCCGTTCGATAAAATCCATTGCACAACTAATTATCACAACGATGAAAACAAGTTCTCTCTTGAAAAATTGAAATATCACAAACTTTTCCCAGAGAAAAATACCAATATGGAAGATGGTTACGTCACTCTGCGGAAGATATCATTTCGTATTAGGGGTGACAGCATAGGAAATTCAAGTACAATTACGACAAGAATCCATGACCACTCGGACCAAAGATCACTCGGTTCAAGACCAGTCGGACCAAGTGATAGACCACTCAGCCCAAACAAATAGACTACTCGGACCATACAAAAAGACTATTCGGACCCAACAGAAAGACGACTCGGACCAATAATAAAATGTTGTTTTAATAAATTGATAATTGCGTTTGTTTTAATATAATTACTCGAACCAATAATAAAGTGTTATTTTAATAAATTGATAATTGTGTTTATTTTAATATGACTACTCGAACCAATAATAAAGTGTTATTTGAATAAATTGATAATTGTGTGTGTTTTAATATGACTACTCGAACTAATAATAACGTGTTGTTTGAATAAATTGATAATTGTATTCCAAATCGCAAAATATCGAGAACCACACTTGTAGTCACGTTTAAAAAGGGGCATATAAACGTCCGGTCTTCGTATTATTATGTGCTGTTTATATTAACGCATCAAGGGCGGATAACTTGAAAACGTGTCTCCACCCCCCCCCCCCATATATAGTAACCCAGGGGTTAGTGGGGTAGAACGGAATGAAACCACTGGGGATACCGCGAATGTGGAAAAAGTAAAATTAGGCTATCAGACAAGAACAGTATACCTGTATATGTAGAAACTGTCAAAAGTCTGGACATACCGAGTCTCATTGCAAGAGTAAAGAAAAATTAGATTGATATTTTTTTTTGGCACCATTATTAATTAATTTTAAAACTAATCGTTGATTTATTTACGTACACAAAATTGAACCAAACAACTCTAAATATAAGAATTCCGTATAAGAATTATTTGCTTCTTTGTATTGTGATTTAATAATAAATAAATAGCATATTGTCTAGCCTTATAATATAATTTAATTGGTCCGACTGGTCTTGTTTTGGTCCGACTGGTCTTAGTCCGAGTAGTCTTTGGTCCGAGTGGTCTGGATACCTACGACAATTGGCATTGAGTTTGAGCGTTCGCACACATAACTACCCGCATTCCTGTATTTAGTTACCGTCTTTTACATTCTAGTAAAATCTCTGCAAATTTTATAGCTTTACTTTTTGAAATATTTTGTTCTAATTATTTGATCAGCGACTCGGATGGGATTATTTACTTTTGAACACGCATGCCGCACAAACACAACTATACATTCGTTTTACGGGCTTTATCACACTTCGGTCAAAACTGTTGAATCGAGAATTAATGTTCCGCTTCTTACGGGGTCATACGGGCTTAGTAGCATTATATACCCACCCGGGTACCCAATACGGCAATAGACACGCTGAGGGCTGCCGCAACACGCTTAAAGATGTTACTGAAGCGGTTATTATTCGATCGAAAGAATGCGTATAAAATTAAAAATACACTCAGAGAATTCGGAGGTAAGCTTCGTGATCCTTGTTAAATTATTTATAACATGAAGAAGATAGGATATTTATAGTTTATTCATGACTTTATTTTTACGAGTATCCGTGCAATCAGTGATATTTTAATTGTGAAGAAAATTTGATAGACTGGCGATCAATGGTTTCCATATAAATCTCCTATGTAATTGCCTTCAATTGATATTTTTCGTCACCCAAACCCATATACGATCAAAATGATCGCGCTGTCAAACTATCTTTCAATGTTAACCAACCCCCGCAACAGGTATATTGGATTCGACCAATACGTCACGAAGACATTGTTGACATCGACTCTGTCGAAATTACAAGTAAATTTTCAAATTTTTCAAGAGAGAAATTGTTCTCATCGTTGTGATAATTAGTTGTGCAATGGATTTTATCGAACGGGAGTTCATTACAAACACACAGGTAAGTTTATAATAACCAAAGTTAAGTAGTTTGTTCATAATCGAAGAAATCCGTTTAAAATTTACGATGAATCAGACAGTAGTTATATTATTGGTTAGAATAAAAACACAGATAATATTTATTTAATTAAATAAATTTAATAACAAACTAAAATTTGGTAACAAGTGCTTCTTTGTTTAACTTTTTAAAAAATGAAATAACCATATTTTGTGTTACAATACAATGGAAACATTCCAGTTAGACGAAATTTGATTTGCTTGTTGAGTTATAGATGGTTTCGTTAATATCATCGAATGTGACAGTGCTGGGAATACACACCAAAGTCGATTGTCGAGATAAGTAAATTCGCGTACCGGTCGGCTTAATTTATTGATGTTCAAGGAAATAATAGTGGTTCCGTTCGTTCCTTATTATATTGATGTTCAAGGAAATAATAGTGGTCCCGTCATGGACCTTATTTTATAATACATGGACCTTATAATTATAAGGTCCATGGTCCCGTTCGTTCGTTAAACTCCAGAAACGAACGAACGGGACCACTATTATTTCCTTGAACATCAATAAATTAGGCCGACGGGTACGCGAATTTACCTATGTCCCGGCATAGCTCACCATTTTGTAAGGCGTGCGTTATTTATTACACAAGATATGATTGAGTAATACTTGAATAATAATGACGTGTTATAATTATTCGATCGAAAGAATGCGTATAAAATTAAAAATACACTCAGAGAATTCGGAGGTAAGCTTCGTGATCCTTGTTAAATTATTTATAACATGAAGAAGATAGGATATTTATAGTTTATTCATGACTTTATTTTTACGAGTATCCGTGCAATCAGTGATATTTTAATTGTGAAGAAAATTTGATAGACTGGCGATCAATGGTTTCCATATAAATCTCCTATGTAATTGCCTTCAATTGATATTTTTCGTCGCCCAAACCCATATACGATCAAAATGATCGCGCTGTCAAACTATCTTTCAATGTTAACCAACCCCCGCAACAGGTATATTGGATTCGACCAATACGTCACGAAGACATTGTTGACATCGACTCTGTCGAAATTACAAGTAAATTTTCAAATTTTTCAAGAGAGAAATTGTTCTCATCGTTGTGATAATTAGTTGTGCAATGGATTTTATCGAACGGGAGTTCATTACAAACACACAGGTAAGTTTATAATAACCAAAGTTAAGTAGTTTGTTCATAATCGAAGAAATCCGTTTAAAATTTACGATGAATCAGACAGTAGTTATATTATTGGTTAGAATAAAAACACAGATAATATTTATTTAATTAAATAAATTTAATAACAAACTAAAATTTGGTAACAAGTGCTTCTTTGTTTAACTTTTTAAAAAATGAAATAACCATATTTTGTGTTACAATACAATGGAAACATTCCAGTTAGACGAAATTTGATTTGCTTGTTGAGTTATAGATGGTTTCGTTAATATCATCGAATGTGACAGTGCTGGGAATACACACCAAAGTCGATTGTCGAGATAAGTAAATTCGCGTACCGGTCGGCTTAATTTATTGATGTTCAAGGAAATAATAGTGGTTCCGTTCGTTCCTTATTATAATGATGTTCAAGGAATATTAGTGGTCCCGTCATGGACCTTATTTTATAATACATGGACCTTATAATTATAAGGTCCATGGTCCCGTTCGTTCGTTAAACTCCAGAAACGAACGAACGGGACCACTATTATTTCCTTGAACATCAATAAATTAGGCCGACGGGTACGCGAATTTACCTATGTCCCGGCATAGCTCACCATTTTGTAAGGCGTGCGTTATTTATTACACAAGATATGATTGAGTAATACTTGAATAATAATGACGTGTTATAATTTTTGCCAATGAAAAAATTGATTATTCAGGTTCCCGGTTGAATATTAGCGACTGTCTTACAATTTATAATATGCTTTCTCATTAGCCGAAATGACTGCTACACGCGCCATTTTGCGGAATTCATCCAATCATATACAGTGTAACTTATTCCATAGTATGCGGGCCCCTACATGTGTATTATCAACCGGATCCATTCACTTGATTTGATATTTGTTTATTCGGTGAAAAGCCTATTTTCTGTCTTGTCCGCAGGTTTATCTTGTAGATTTTTGTTTTGCGTGTAGTGGGCCCCCCTGCACTTACTTATTTAGTTCGTAACGAGGAATAAACAACGAGAATTGACTTCTGATGTTTGGTAGATATTTATTTAGATGTTATTAACTAAATTTTTTGAATATTTTTTTTGTGTTAAAAACGTAAGCGCACGATTTTCGGGGTCCTCGACCTAAGCGCGCGGGCGAGGAGAAACAAGGAATCAATTCAACACGGCCTTAGTTGGCTAAATGAAATGACAGATGAGTACAATGAATTTACCCAAATTTACACCGATCTACCATTATTTCAATGGATCACAATAAGGCTGACCTTAAAAATATCTTTGTTTCGCCTAACGCGACCGACTAACTAAAACCACCCCCGACTTAAATTATTTTATTGTACATGTACTTTTCCACGATCTTTTTATTTTATTTTGTGTGTCAACCTGAAATATATCATGAGAGTTATTTCCCTTTACTATGGCTATGGTTTGATTCATTATTGAAACTGGTTGATCAAGACGAAAGCGTCATAGGTGTCGCTTCTCAACAAAATGGTTGCAGACGAATACACGTCCATTCCCACGAAATGATTCTGCCTCTATGTCTGTGGTGCGTAGTTTTAAACATGACGACGATATTTTCAATATCCGTTTTCGAGAAAAATGAAGGCACAACCCGCACTATCGTTAAAAACGTGTTGAAGGAGTTTCACACTTCAAGCTCGTGGCAAATCGTGTGCGAGTCGATCATCACGAAAAATCCCGATGTCATTGATTTGTTTGCCAATAAAGAAGACGAATGTTTCCACCCGGAAAATTATTAAGCTGTCAAATTAGCTCTTAAGTTTAATAAAAACTTTCAGTTCGTTACTTTTTACGTCAGACCCCAAATTCATTAAACAAAATTAATGAATCTGTAGTATACAGCTAATAAGTTTTCTGTATTGATTTCTCTGACTTTAAAAAAAAATCTGAAAAAAAAACCCGACCTACCGACCCTTCTCCTCGATTGTGGGTCGGGTTTGGTGAAACAAAGATATTTTTAAGGTCAGCCTAACTTAGATTGATAATTTACTGATCTTTGTGCCAAATTGTCATTTTTGATTAAAATCGTAGCATTTTTGTGACCAAATGTGATGTTGAAATAATGAATAATGGCTTTTGGTAGATTTGCACATTACACAAGTTGTGTCCCTTGGTTACGATTTCCGATAATTGCTTAGGAATCACATTTTAAATTGTTCAAGTGGCATTTAGTAACTGAATGAGAATTACACATGACATTTTAGCGACGTTTTGACGAGGGTTCTCCCGTCTTTATCAAGCAAAGAATGAGAACCATAGGACAATGAAGATATATATACAAAACCTGGAACAAAGAAAAACATTAATATATAATCAGAGATAATCATTTGGAAGCCATCCCTTTCGGTACCATACAACCATCTCCACTTCGCATGAGAAATGTTAAACTGTTACACATCTTGATATAATTACTCTCAGATCTACTGTTCTGGTTGATGAGATTGACTGCCACATCTCCATGTTGATGACGAATTTAGTGACTGATAGAGAATAACACATGCAGGGCTGTCGGTAATTTTTCACAGTTGATTAGCAGCACTGCTAATCAAAAAGTCCAATTTTGCCAAATTTGATTAGCAAATTTAAGAATTGATTAGCAGTTTTTCAGTTTCAACGTAAAACACCTAAATAACAAGATATTACTTTAATTCGTAATGAATTGACATATGATTAGATTCCATTCTGACTATTCTTAGATTTTTTAGCACTGCCACAAGTACTTGTGACAGTTTGTGAATGTGATGTAGACATTTAGTTAGGTCTTACGTCTGAAGCCAATTCTTGACAGTGACTTCCGAAGCCCCACTCATTTTAATTGTAATTTTTTTGTTACGTTAGAAATCTTCGTTAGAAAACAATTTCGTCTGCTTTTTATCGTGTATTATTATTTTTGTTCAATCGGGCGCACCTCGATTAACTAGACACACGCGATATAAACAATAATATTTTACGGGAATTTTTACTTTGATTTATCAATTTACAATACGTTAACATGTGTTTATTTTTTTTTATATTTTATTTACAATACGTGGGAGATACACTGGATTTATTTCTTTCAAAATGAATATGATATAATTACTTGATGTCTCACAACGTGAGTGGTACTACTTGATTCCCTATTTCCGGTTTAATAGTCCCTATTCATAGAGTTATGTCCCTGTGTTATATAGTATTGTGTCTGGGCAGTTCGAGAAGAAAATGTCACACGGAGAATTCAGTTTTGTTTATAAAATTTTATTCAACATTTTATACACGTTGAAAGTGTTGAGTAAGCCTTCTAGTCTTCAAAATGTGGATTATTCTTGTGTCAATATCCAAAATGACAGGCATATTAATGATTCGCAGTAACTGCGAATCAAAAACGTTAGATTTTAATTTTTGGTTAGCAACGGACAAAATATGTATCGCAAATTGCGCTGCGATACTGGTTGTTGGCAGCCCTGAACACATGACACAATTATATGGAATACAAGTTACTTAAAGGATTTATTTCAGCGATATTTATAAAGGGCTATATTTTTGTTAAAATAAAGGCGATCAGTTTTGAGTAAATTCTTAAGTTTAGTAATTATTGAGTGTGTTGATATTTTATTTAGAAGAGGATATAATCTTATTTGTGATGCTGCTTTAGGATTTTTAATGGTCATAAATTGTGAAATGTGATGGAAGTTATTTAGATTATTAGGTAATAAATGGTTGATGAAGGAAAGCTATAATTTTTTATTTTTGATTTCAGTTGTCCATGAATCCTGTTCAGATCTTGTCCCGAGGGGCTGAGGAGGAAAAATCTGAAATAGCTCGTATGGTAAGTATATGGTGACCAGTGTTGTACAGTGTCAGTGGTTGAAATTAGGGCTTCTAATCTATTTTGCAAACAACTGGCCAAAATTGAGTCACTATAGGTCATTGTCGTCTTCTGGAAATAGCATCAATTGGCTTCCATTCCATTCAACAGCAGTAAAATCTTGATAATTAGTTTTGTTATAAATGAGTGCCACAAAAAATAACAAAATAAATCTAGACCTGTTCAATATTTTCCATTATTTAATTCATGGTTATATCAATAAATATTCCTCAGTAACTATCTTTTATCTTTGTGTTATTCTATAGACACTGAAAGTGCCAAAAACCTGTTTTTTTCTTCTGAACTTTTGTCTCAGTACAACCATCACTGATTTTTGGATTGAATAATTTGAATTTGTTGATTAATAATGTTTTTATTGATTGTTTTTGTTTTATTTCAGTCCTCATTTGTTGGCGCCATTGCCATTGGAGATCTTGTTAAAAGTACCTTGGGCCCAAAAGGAATGGTAAAGTATATTTTGTTGCATCATTTTATTACTATGGTTACAATAAATGCTAGCAAGGAGAATTCTGCCCTGGCGGCATCTTTTTCCTATTAGCTATTTGGCACCGATGTTGGTCATGATGTTTTTGTTGACAGCATTTTAGAAAACAACTCTACAATTTGTGTATTCTTAGATTATTGATGTGTTGTATATTTCAGGATAAAATTTTACAATCAAACGACCCTAATTGTACTATACAAGTAACAAATGATGGTGCTACTATATTAAAAGCTATTGGTGTAGATAACCCTGCAGGAAAAGTGTTAGTGGGTAAGGATGTATATAAATCATTCTGTTATTGTATGTCCCAGTATTATAACATTGAGTCAGTTTACGATTGTCCAGTACCATTTTTGATTCTCAATAACATTTATCAGGGTTGAGCAGTAGAAGACAACAACTCTCGTAATGTAGGTCTAAAATACCTGGAGACTTAGTAGCCGGAGGACATCTAAACTGGGATCTCAGCGATACACACACAGTCATACCACGACCAAAGTTTCAATTCAATACTTAGTGAATATAATATTACTTTTTAAACAATGAACTGTTGACCACTAATTAATACTCAGAACTGTTTTGTTTATATTTTTATATGTTAATGACTCTAATTATTTTATCTAATCATATGTGCACCATTCCACCATTTTTTATTTTGATCAAACCTAAATTACACTTATTCGGCAAACTACTCTCCTAAAATTAATAACTGATCTTGAATAATCCTGATCATTCCTAGCTGATCAGGATTAATCCTATTTACTCACCACCAATCTTAATAGCTCATATTACGTCACAGTCACTTTTCCTATAAATACCATTACTGAAGAAGGACTCCTTTAGTCCGAAACGTCTACAAATAAATTTGTTTATTACTACCCAGGAATTCATCTATCTTCTCTGGTTATAGGGGTTGCTTCTCTACTTAAATTATCAGGGTTATGTATGTAATAACTGAGCATACAGCTCATTTACTGTTTCAACAAGAGTTACTTCCGATTGACCCATGAAGAACGTGTAGTGATCAAGAAGGGATGTGGCAGTACCTGAGAACAGAAGTACATGTTTTTATAAATATATGTTCTTGTATGTTTTCAGATATATCAAAAGTACAAGATGATGAAGTTGGTGATGGTACTACATCAGTTGTTGTTTTAGCTTGTGAATTATTGAAGGTATGTTAACTTTTATACTAAATCATAATATAATAAGTTTATAGATCTTCACAGCTATAATTTGAAGTTTTATAATTATTGCTATTTATTAAAGATACATTATGGAAGATTAGGTAAAGAGCTGGAAGTTTTCACTATAATACTTAACAACTAGATAATGTAAAGGGAATATGCTGAGAATTTCAGTCAAATTGTTTCCCTCTAAGCCGAGAAAACCTTATTTTAAAATCACTGTAACCTTGATTGTAATTGTTATCGGCGTCACAATAATTAAAGTCTTGATTATCAAATTTTGCATTTAATTATCAATTGGCGTTGAACAGCAGATTGGATTCAAATCCAATTAAAATCGGACACATAAGATGGCATTGAGAGTTGATTATGGTCTTAAATGTCTAAGCAATAGTTAAACATTTCAGGTCTAAAGAAAGAACTGCAATAGGCAGATTTAGCTCTTGCCTAATGTATGTTTAAGAAATGTTTTTAGGTCCTATTATAAATTGTTTATTTGTAGGAAGCTGAAGATTTAGTGAGTAAAAAGATACATCCACAGACTATTATATCAGGTTGGAGACAGGCTACAGATGCTGCAAGAAAAGCTTTAGTTGATGCTGCTAGAGATAATGGGTAATATATATTACACAGAAGGCCTTAGAATATTTTAATTAACAATTTCTAACACAATTACAAACTGCCACCTTTTGATGACAGGCATGATTAGCTATTCTCAAACTTTTAACTTTATATTTATGCATTACATTACCGTAACATTAGGAGGCATGCACTGAACCAAGAATCCGCAGTCTGGAAGACTAGGCAAGGATGACTATTGAAAACAAAATTGTTTATACCGACTTGCAACAAAGTAGAATTTATGTAGCAATATGTGATGTTATAATGCTTATTGCATCCTGTGTTTTATTGATATTGTTGAATGAATATAAATAAATGGAAAGACTGTTTGTGCTGACAACATCGGTCAATTTAGTTTTCATAGTTATACATTTTATTATTGGAACAAGACCTGTCAATACCAATGTTTTTCTTTTTTTATTATTTTTTTTTAACTGTTGAAAATAATATCTGTAGGGTTTTTGTCATCATTGCAGTCGAATTGTGGTCTTGATTTGTTATGGTTATGTTTCAGAAAGAATCCAGACAAATTTCGTGAAGATTTAATGAATATAGCCAGAACAACCCTTAGCTCCAAGATTCTCACTCATTTCAAAGAACATTTTGCTAAATTGGCTGTTGATGCTGTACTCCGATTAAAAGTATGTAGATTTATTATACCATTTACTTTAGACTTGTTTTAAGATTATAATTCCAAAAGCCAGCCTGGAAATAAGGCACCTGTCACAGACAATGTCAGGCACAGATTCGGGCTTTGTCAGGCACAATATCTCTGTTGCCTGTCATTTTGTCCGGCACTGATTTGTCTTGTTTATTGATATTATTAATACATGTCCGACACTTTGATGAAAATGTCAGGTACTATTTCATTAGTGTCCGACATTTTGTCAGGTACATCTTAAACCGTTATTTCCAGGCCTGTCTACAAGATGTATATGTTATCATTCTGTGTAAAACGAAGTTAGGGAGAGATATTGAAATAGACTCTGTCGGAATTTTGTTTCTGGAGCATATCTTGTAACCTGGTCAAGACATCTTTATGAAACTTTGGACATACATCAACCTATTATTATTAGTTATGCCCTTGGCTTACTATAATTTTTTTAGTGGAATAACTTGTGTTTCCATGGAAACAAACTGTACTTAGTTTTTGGCATATAATTATTATTCAAAGGGATAAAATATTATGATACCTTATAAAATTTTGGTGGGTAAGACACTGGCTTGCTAGCCTGGAGTTTGGGTGTTCGATCCCTGCTTTTGCAGAGAAAGTTCATTCAGATTTTCCGGCGTGGTTCTCCCTTGTCAGTGATGCAGGATGGAGGGCCGGACAAGGACAGCTGTCTAGTCTTTCGGATGGTACGTGCACGTAAAAGATCCTCTGGCGGTTGAAATTCGATATAAGAGTAGGCAGTAGCGCCACTGCCCGGGCAAAATTTCCCTCATGGCACACTGTATGGCGTATACCCGTCTTTATTAGCCCAGGTTAGGAGCAGAACTGTAGAACGTTAAACCCCATTTCAATCATTTCATTTATAAAATTTTGTTTTAATTAGCAAATAACTCTTCAGTTTTTTATACTATACTATGATAGTGTAAATATTGAACCATGTTAATAATAGTCTATATTTATAAATTAGGGTAGTGGTAATTTAGATGCCATTCAGATTATCAAAAAACTTGGTGGAGCTTTACAAGATTCTTATTTAGATGAAGGTATGTGAATAGAAATTAATTATTTTTTTTCAATCACACCCATTCAACTAACTTTCTAACATGATGGTCAAGGGTTCGATCCGGGTGTTGTCCAAGAAAGTCCAGTGTGGTTTTTCCCTTGTTAGTGTTGCAGGATGGAGGATCCGGCAAGAAACATCGACTTGTCGTTTGGGTGGGACAATAAACCATGGTTACATGTACGCAATTGGCATGCACAATTAAAGACCTTTGATAGTTGCAATTCGAAATAAGTGTAGGTTGTAGCATGGTGTATGCTCATTTTCATTAGCATGGATGGAGCATAAAAGTAGGACGTTCAACTCCATTTTATTTGACAAACATTTCTTAAGATTAGTACCAGTTGAAACCTTATTTACAGGTTTGTAGTAAATAGGAGCTTGTACTAATAACAACTACAGTTCCACTGCAAATTTATTCTTGTATTTACTTCTCATTCATGACAGGTATTGTGATTTATGACAATATGAAAGTTGATATCTTCATAAATTGGGTATAGTTTTCTTATCAGTTACATGTCTGACCATCAGAGGAATGCCAAAATGGTTTAAAAAGAGAAGTGGACGGGACCTCATTATAAATATTGATATAGGATTATATAATTTGTAGAAGTTCTAGACTGCATGTAATATTGTTTTGTTTTAAAGGTTTCTTGTTAGATAAGAAAGTTGGTGTTAATCAGCCTAAGAGAGTAGAAAATGCCAAGATTTTAATAGCTAATACACCAATGGATGCTGATAAAATTAAGGTATAATTAATTTTATACTTTTATGTGGACAGGAGTCACGGTGGTTAAGTGAGTAAGACGCTGGCTGGCTAGTATGGAGATTGTAGTGTTGGCCGAGAAAGTTCGAGATTTTCCGGCATGACCTGACCGGGACTTCTGTCTAGTCGTTTGAATGGGATGAAAAACTGGGGTCCCGTGTACACATTGGCGTGCACATAAAAGATCCCTTGGCAGATGAAATTGATGTAAGAGTAGGCCATAGTGCCGCTTTCCAGGCAAAATTTTCCCCATTGCACACCGCATGGCGTGTAGTGTGCCTTCATTAGTCCAGTCGAAGCAGAACAGTAAGACGTTAAACCTCATTTCATTTATGTTGACATATATTGTCGTCACCTGCTTCCAATGGTCTATTTAACATAGTTAACGTAAGACAGAAGCAAATTTCAGAGTTGTCTCTCCATTTATGTTCAGAAAGCTTGGTAAAAATGGTTAATTTTCAATTATCCTGTTCATATTATAATTTTTAAAGCTTTTGAAGTTGATTTAAAACTTGCGTCAAGATGTGGCAGGTAAAAATGATTTTATTTATGGCCGGTAAAAATGATCTTATCTTTTGTATTATAATATGAAATATTGTTTATTTGTGTAGGTATTTGGTAGTCGAGTTCGTGTAGATGCTGTAGCAAAAGTAGCAGATTTAGAAACAGCTGAGAAAGAGAAGATGAAAGATAAAGTTAATCGAATCATCAAACATAACTGTAATGTGTTTATTAACAGGTAGGATAATCTTACCTGTCAGAACCAATCTGGGCATTATTTATTAGATGATCTGTGTAGCTTTCAACTGATATTAATACAAGAGGTTATAGATGGTACTCATGTTGACAAGACATTAATGTGTTACATGTGAACTATTGAGTACAATTTTTGTTCTGGAATCCTGAAAAGGTATAGTACAAAGTAGAAATCTGTGGTTTTGTCCGAACCAATAAAATAAGTGGTTAGAAATAAGATGATACTAACTGGTATTGTTTGTAAAATATAGTAATGGTTTGTTACAACGGCCAGGTATTGAGGCAGTACGGTAGCTGGAGTGACTTAGTGAATAAGCAGCTGACCCGCTAATCAGAAGGTCCTGGGTTTGATCCCAGTGGTTGTTAAGGATGTTCTTCAGGATTTTTCGGTGTGATTTCCCCTTATCAGTGGTGCAGGATGAAACGAAAAGAAAACTCAAGGATCTGTATACACATTGGCATGCACATAAAAGAACCCCTTTCTGTTAGTGTTTCTACCACTGGGCAAAATTTCACTCTAGCAAACTGAATGACGTATGCCCGTCTTCATTAACCTGCATGGTGCTGAAATGTAGGTCATTAAATCTGATTTGATTTGATTTCATTTTCACTATTTAAACATACATTATGCAAGAGCTAAATCTGCCTATTGCAGGTCTTTCTTTAGGCCTGAAATGTTTTCTAAAGTATTAATTAGACATTAATTAACTGATCCAGGCCTTAATCAACTCTCGATGGCATCAGATTTCTCCGATATTAAATAGATTAGAATGGTTCAGCGATACTTTGATTTAATCAAAGATGGAGGACTGAGACTTAGCTTCGATCAACCAGTACAGTACGGTGGTTGAAATTATTGCACACGTCTGTCAAACCTTCAAAGGCTAATATCTTCGCTTGCAATAGAGTAATTTAAATGAAATTTTCAAATTATTCATTTTACATCATCTAATTTCGAACTATTATAGCAAGAATGGATAGTTCTTTATCTAAATCTTACATTATGTATCTTTAATATAAATTTGTTTATTTTTTGTAGACAACTTATTTATAACTACCCAGAACAACTATTTGCTGATGCAGGTGTAATGGCTATAGAACATGCTGATTTTGATGGTATAGAACGTCTAGCATTAGTTACAGGTGGTGAAATAACATCTACTTTTGATTGTCCTGATATGGTTAAACTAGGTACCTGTGATCTTATAGAACAAGTTATGATTGGTGAAGATCAGTTAATCAAATTTTCAGGTAACAAATCTTTTATTCTGTTTTGCTTCACTGAGAGAAATTCTGACATTGTAGGATAGCTGTACAATAAAACCCAGACAGAACAAATGAATAGGAAATAGACCAGAAAAGAAATAATATTGAGATATACAGCTACCTTTTTGGATGTCAACTACCATTGTCTTAGATCCTGTTCTTGGATAATGGTTAATATCAGTATAGCTTGTTAGGGTGTAATAGCTGCCACCTCTAGGCACGATGTTCATTGCACATCTTGTCGCAATAGAGTGATTTGAATGAAATTTTCAAATTATTCATTTTACATTATCTATTTTCGAACTATCATAGCAAGAGTGGCTACTCCTTTTCTTAATCTTTCATAATTTATCTTTAAATTTGAAAAGTTGCGCAAATTTCTAAGACTTGACATAGTTTTAACATGGACTACATATTTGCAAGTTTTAACATGGACTACATATTTGCAAGTTTTAACATGGACTACATATTGGACTACATATTTGCAAGTTTTAACATGGACTACATATTTGCAAGTTTTAACATGGACTACATATTTGCAAGTGTTCTACAGATGAAACTTATTAAATGTTTGTATTTTGTACAGGTGTAGCCCTAGGAGAAGCTTGTACAGTTATTTTACGTGGAGCAACACAACAAATATTGGATGAATCTGAAAGATCTCTGCATGATGCTCTATGTGTTCTATCACAAACAGTTAAAGAAACTAGAACAGTTTTTGGAGGAGGTAAAATTTCTACTTGCAAATAACTTTCATCACAACTTCGACATCTTGTAGGATCTTGAATTTGGCCCGGAATTAAAATACATTAAGGCTATCAGTGGCAGTCAAACTAAAAGGATACTTTTGTCCACGTTGTAAGAAGAATCTGAGGATTTTTTAAACCCCATTTCCACTTCTTGTTGCTTAATTCTGATGGGACCAAAAAAAACCAGATTTCACGTTAACACTTGGCATTCGATGAAGAGTAGTTGAATTGTCACTTTGCTAATAAAATTCTCCTCCACGGTTGTACGTGACGAGGAGTATGGTTGTCTGTCCAACATCGTGTGTTTTCTCTGGGTCCTCTGGTTTCCTCCCACTGTTAAAGATCCCTATGCGCAAGCAGATTATTGAAATAAAATTGGACCATATGTTAGTCCCATATTAACCTAGTTTGTGTCGAGTGGAGTTAAACCTCATCTCTCCCTCTCTTACACATGTGTCAAGTTTGATAGAATTATATTAAAGATAATGCCAGGAAGGTTTTTAAAGTATATGTTAGAAAATAAAGTTTTCTTCTGTATTTCAGGTAGTTCTGAGATGTTAATGGCTGATGCTGTAGCCAAGTTAGCAGCTAAAACTCCAGGAAAAGAAGCTGTAGCTATGGAAGCTTTTGCTAAGTCATTAAGAGCAGTAAGTAATACTATTCCACTTTTTCTCCATCAAAATTTAATCTACCCATCATTCTACACCAATATCTAAGTTCAAGGGTCATAATTTACTCAAAATGAAGGTCAAATCTCTTTCTACCTGTGAATGAAATCTCAGCTGAAGGTCTTGGAACATTACATCTGAACTGAGTAGAAACCCCAAGTTCACAAAGCATTCTCAGACTAAAGTGAAGAATTTACTCAACTTTCAATCACTGTTTATGAGAAATATCTTTGATCCTGAAACACAAAACTTTACACATAGTTTCTTATTGATGTATTTGATACATTGAAACAACAAAAGTTTTATAAAGAGCTATATTTTAGTTAAAATAAGGCGAACAATTTTTGAGTAAATTCTTAAGTCTGATAATGTTTTGTGAAAGCGGGACCTGGTTTCATTAGCCATGGTTTGTTAGTTGATGTGATTTGATGTGTTTTATCTTGTAGTTACCTACATGTATAGCTGATAATGCAGGATATGATAGTGCTGATTTGGTTGCCCAACTAAGAGCTGCTCATACTGAAGGAAAACACACATATGGTTTAGGTAAGATATATAAAAGAGAAAATTATTGTGTTTTTGGAAAACGTTTGAACTTTTAAATGTTAAAATAAGAAATTTAATGGGACTTTTTAGGGGGTTCAATGTCACATTTATACCGTTATGGATGTTGGAAAAAGGAGAAATATTCTTGAATCTTTGGGGGACCAAAAGTCAGATCTAATTTTTCAACCGTACAACTTAGCTAGTTCCGTATAAAACTTGACATTTGTTGGCAAATCCTGTAGGGTTCTTAAAATTTGGATATTTAAGAAATTCACTTCATTTAGCAATCCTGTAGGTTTCTTAATATTTGGATATTGAAGGAATTCACTTCATTTAGCAATCAAATATTTGTTTTATATTATACAGATATGGAACAAGGTGTTGTAGGTGATATGGAGGCTCTAGGAATTACAGAATCTTTCCAAGTTAAAAGACAAGTTCTACTTAGTGCCGCCGAAGCTGCCGAAATGATATTACGTGTAGATAATATTATTAAAGCTGCACCTCGACAAAGACAACCTGACCACAGACATCATTAAATGTATCATATCCAGTTATTCATTTCAATATATACTACATTTTATCATAGCTTCAATGTAAATTGTATGATAAAAAGAATCAAGTGCTATCTGTTTTTTTGTATATTTAATTTATTTACCATTCTCAAATCTCGGACATGTGACACACAACAGTCTTGCTTTTCGTAATTTTTTTGTGATAATAAAATGATATCATGATTTTTGTTGTTTTCTTAAACTGTACAGGAAAAACATTCTTTCAGAACATCCTCTTCCAGTGTAGCAATATAAAAATTAATACTGCAGCTCTGACAAAATATCTGGATCCCTGCATTGGCTTAGAAAGTTCGAGATTTTGCAGAACTAAGAGCCTGACAAGGACAGCTGTCTAGTCATTTGGTTGACAAAAACCTGAGGTCCTGTGTATACATTGGCGTGCACGTAGAAGATCCCTTTGCAATTGGAATTCGATATAAGAGTAGGCCATAGTGCCGTTGCTAGGACAAAATTTCCCCTCATAGAACACTGTATGGCTTATGCCTGTCTTCATTAGCTCAGTTGGAGAAGGACTTTAAACCACATGTCATTTCTGACAAAATATGTGCTGTTTGAAAATACTAGATCTTGAATTGATCAGATGTTACATTATCATTCTGTGGAGGTCTATTGCCAGAAGGGGTGGGTGTGCTTTAAATCAGGTCTGTCATCGAGTCGAGGGTTGCTTGCCTAATCTTGTGAGTGTTATCTCACTGCTCAGCTAAAGACCCCCTACGCAGAATTGTTGAAATAGAATTGTACCATGTTAATCCTGAGGTCGCCTAATTTTTGTTGAGGACGTTAACCCCATCCATTTCTCTTTCCATTGATTGAAGTAAAAAATTCTGAAGAGAATAGTTGATAATTATATTTGCTGTCATGCACTTTATGGATTAATTTTGTCAGCACAGCTCTAAGCATGACGTTATTACTATGATGGCTGGCCACTGGACCAGTTATAAAAACCCAAGTCGCACATACTAGGTCTGTGATCTTGAAAACCTGTCATCCCACAACCAGGATTGTTATAAAATGTGGATTGTGTTATTTAGCATGTGAGAAATGGTGTAAGTGTAACTAGAGAGTTACAGAGTGCTCATCCAATTATGCTTCAAATCGGATATGAAACAAATCCATTAAAGACTGTGGCATCTATCGTGTTCACAAGGCTTTTGGAAAAGCGGGGTGTGTAACTTTGAAACATAATGGTTGCAGAATTCTCAATGCTAGCATCAGGTTTAGCATATATTGCTTTCACAACATATTTTTTGGCAAATGGGGGATAACTCTGGAACGGAATGTCACAGAATGCTGTACATTGATAGGGTTCATTCTCTCATGACCGAAATGCTTCAAATCAAATAGTAACCTGTAGATTTTGGTAAAGGGTGTGGACAGCCCTGGAACAGAACATCACAACCCATATTGTCTTCACTATGTTTTCGGCAAAGAGGGTATAACTCCAATCTGATTAAATACAGATCTATATTCCGTTTTGTTATACTTTTGATGGCCTACACTACATGAAGATCTGACCAGTTGTATTGGGAGGTCGTGTCAGAGGTTATACGAGCGGCTTTTGACCCTATGACGTCAGACATTTGATTAATCAATCAGCATTGATGTTTCTAGTGGATTACCCACAGTTCCGTGCACCTCGCCCTCACGTCAAAAGCTCGCTGTAACAGACCGTTTCATTTGCTAATACCTCACATCATCCATAACATGTCAATGATAACAACTCTTCCAGATCCTAGTGTAGTAAAGACAAGTAAACTGAAATTTTGAACTATAAAATATGAAACGAGAGAGAGAGAGAAATGGGGTTTAACGTCCACTCGACACAAACTAGGTCATTTCAGGACTAACATGGTTTTTAATTTTCTTGCACGTAGGGGTCTTTAGCAGTGGGAGGAAACCGGAGGACCCAGAGAAAAACCCACGAGGTTTGACAGGCGACCCTACTCCTTGTCACGTACAACCGGGGATTTGAAACCACGCCAGTCGACTCAATGACAGACTTTATGATACAGCGCGCAATGACAGACTTTATGATACAGCGCGCAATGACAGACTGTATGATACAGCGCGCAATGACAGACTTTATGATACAGCGCGCAATGACAGACTTTATGATCCAGCGCGCAATGACAGACTTTATGATACAGCGCGCACGCTAACCATTCAGCCATCCAACCCCCCTGAAACGAAAGAGGATCTGTGTTTTAATCAGATTTGTTTAACTCCAAAACTGAAAGAATCCACTTGTCAGAAACTTTACACCGATAAATCTGTTTAGTTAGTAATACCAAGGAGTTTGTCTAATCTTCACTGGTTACAGGGGTTGTTTCTCTATAAATAATTGTAGTCTGCAGAGTGAGCACCAGTTGCTAAGATTGGAATATTATGTTTCAATCAGCACCCTAGGAGGGAATAATAAAACACTGACAAATAATTTATTTATTATGAAATAGAGACAAATATTACGATACATGTATAGATTTATAGACAGACTACGTTAGATCTATAATAAATATATCACAGTAAGATAATGGACGTACATACAATATAACAGAAATAATATCTCATGGACGGACTATTCTAAACCTGGAATATTTAAATCGATTCCAAATTGTTTGGAAATATTGAGTAGTTTTTCCTCATAAAGCACATTTTTCTGGACAGCTTGCTTGTAGTTATATTTGAGATCTTCTATTTCTTCAAAGAAATCAGGACCAAAATTATCTAGTTCCTTCTTTAGCTGAAAAGAAAGATCAGATTTTTATTGTCTTTTGATCAAGCATATTATGATACAATAGTAAATGTTTTCCATAGAACTCTTGTGTTTAAAATTTTTTGTAAAGCTGATTCATGTATATCTAGGAAAATTATCCACAGTTAAAAAAGAGAGAGAGACGTCCACTCGACACAAACTAGGTCATTTTGGGACTGACATATGGTTCAATTTTATTTCAATAATTTGCTTGCGTGTAGGGTTCTTTACCAGGGAATTGAAACCACGCCAGATGACTCAATGACAGACTTTCTGATGCAGCGTGCACGCGCTAACCATTCGGTCATTCAACCCCCCGATCAGTTAATAATGCCTCTGTTATCATTATATGAACATCATCATCTCTTTATAAAAAGAAAATATGGTAATCCACCACTTGCATCATGGAATCTCGCACAAACATTTTTCAATATCAAATATATGAATGCAAGTTGATAAAGTAAAAACAAAAAATCAGATATCAGCAAATGATGAATTTATTGTCATCCAATATCATTCTAATAAAAAAAACCCCAAAACAAATGGACAATTTGATTTTTTCTAGGTGATATTTACTGTGTGAAATAGCTTTATTTAACGTCCGCTGCCACAGACAAGTGATATTACTGTACAAGTTCGGGGTTAATACCAAAATAAAATAGACTATTGTTAATCACAGAATTACAAGACCAATCTTACCTTACTGACTTCAAATTTATATTTATCTCTTTCTAAGGCCACTGATTTTAGATTCATGCTAACATCAACATTTTCCTCCATCATCTGATCATATTTACCAGCTTTAGTTAGAATATCATCATCATACTAAAAATATAACATCTATAAATTAATTCATTTCCAAACTCTTCACTAAAATATTTCATAGTTTATGAGAAAAACTCAACATTAACCTAGAATATTGGACAAAATTGTTTATCTAAGTCAGTAATTCTCAACCTGTGTGCCCCGAAAAACCTTGTGATCCCAACTGAGTATTCACTGGTGTCTACTGGTAAGTTCATAGCTGTGTTTTTCTTTATTTAGTTTGAGTCATTCTATGTGTCTATGAGAGAGAGAGAGAGAGAGAGAGAGAGAGAAATGGGGTTTAACCACTGGACACAAACTAGGTCATTTCGGGACTAACACATTCAATTTTATTTCAATAATTCGCTTGCGCGTATGGGTCTTTAGCAGTGGCAGTTAACTAGAGGACCCGGAGAAAACCCATGAGGTTGGACAGGCGACCCTACTCCTTGTCACCTACAACTGGGGAATCGAAATCACGGCAGTTGACTCAATGACAGACCTTATGATACAGCGCGCACGTGCTAACCATTTGGCCATCCGCCCCCCTATGTGTCTATGACTAGTCTGTGTCTACGGTTGTATGCCGTCTATAACTTGCCATGTTTTTATTTTGTAAAATATCAAATATTTTTTATATATATTTAGCCAGGTGTGTCGCTATTTTTCATGTGTTCCAAGGTGTGCCGTTGGCAAAAAAAAGGTTGAGAACCATTGATCTAAGTTATATAACTCTGTTAACCTATGTACTGTTAAGTTGAACATGTACAATTTGTATACATTAATATAAGTAAAGATAACATAAAAGACAAACTTACAATATCACTACCACCTTTTCTATACATTCTAATCTCATTTAATAGATCTTTTTTCTCATTCTCTAATTTATCAATCTTTACTCTATAATAAATAAAAATAAAACAATTTCTTGCAAATGGTTTCTCGCCATAACAGCTTCAATTTCTTTTTCCAATTATCCAGGAACTATGATTCAGTGTAATACAAATATATGTCATGTTTGGGAAATTTATTTCATAGTATTTCTGTTATTGATCAAATAAGTAACTTTATTACTATTACCTTGCTTGTTGATATTCTTTCATTAAATCACTGTCTTTTAACTGTGTACCTGGTGGTAATCTTTCTAATATTGACATCTAATAAAAATAAAACAATACATGTATAACTTGCAACAACGTCATGTGTCAATATCATCCTGATTAAAATACAGATCTATATTTCGTTTTGTTTTTATATATACTTTCGATGGCCTACACTACATGAAGATCTGACCAGTTGTACTGGGAGGTTGTGTCAGGGGTCAAACAAGCGGCTTTTGACCCTATGATGTCAGGCAGTGATTAATAAATCAGCATTGGCATTTCTAGGGGATTACCCACAATTCCATGCAGAGCACGCCAAGAAATCCCCGTAACGCCTGTTATATAACAACTCTTCCAGATCCTAGTGTTGTGAAGACAAGTAAAAGGAAATTTTGAACTATAAAAAACGAAATGAAATAGGATCTGTGTTTTAATCAGATTGAATCAATATGGAGATTTTTAAAGAAATATAACAACTTAAAAGTTTATTTAATATAGCTGAAAGCAACCCCCAAATACCATGATGTTATAGAAAATACCATAATGTTACAGATAATACCCTAATGTTACAGATAATACCCTAATGTTACAGATAATACCCTAATGTTACAGAAAATATGCTCACCTGGTGAAGTAATTGTTTTTTCTCCTCTAAATATATCTGTTCTCTTTCTGTTGCTTCCTTTAACAATTTTTTACTATCAGCTAACTGTTTATTCTGTTGTTAAAAATAAAAGGACAAAATATAAAACTTAATAATTCAAATTATACATGACATTTACAAATGATACACAAATACATGCAATTTAAATGTAAAAAATGACTATGATAATTCTCTGTTTTTACTCAGAATTATAAACCTACAACGGTAAATCTCTTTGATCTTTTGGGTAAGTTTTTCTTTGAACCTGTAACAGGTTATTCTTCCGGGGTAGGTTTTTTTTTGGTTTTTTCCCCATAAGAAATCATAACGTTTTTTTTACTGGAATTCTGGGATATTCTCGTTTTACATATGTGTAAACATAGACATTTTATAAGCAAGAAGTCCTCAACTTTGTTTATGCTGGGGAAGAACACTTCAGAAAAATCCCTCGAAAGAAAAACCTCTGCCTGCCGGCCTCGTTTTTTTTTTCTTGGGTTATTTTCTTCAGTCTTTCTTTCCCCAACATAACCTCAGTCTTGTGCTTTATCCTACACAGATAACAGTATTTTACCTTTTTCTCAATGTCTGACTCTAAACTATTAATTTGATCTTCATACATTCTGGTAACAACAGCCGACTTCCAACCTTTAGAATCAGAGTTGGTTGTTGGTCTTTTAGCTTCTTCTATTTCTAATTTAGATTTGGTTACTTCTAGTTTTTTAGTTTGTTGTTCTTTTTCCATTTGTTGTGTCCGTAAATCTATTCTTAATTTTTCATTGGATTCTTTTTCCTGAAAGACAGAGAGAGAGAGAAATGGGGGTTAACATCCACTTGACACAAACTAGGTCATTTTGGGACTAACATATGCACATAGTGGTCTTTAGCAGTGGGAGGAAACCGGAGAAAACCCACGAGGTTGAACAGGTGACCCTACTCCTTGTCACGTACAACCGGGGAATCAAAACCACGCCAGTTGACTCAATGACAGATCTTATGATACAATGCACTAACCATTCGGCCATCCACCACCCCCCACTTGATGAAAATAATGAGGCCAACATTGTGAGACTGACTCCCACAAAAATGAGACTCTCTATTTACTTTCACATGTATCTTTTTATAAAGGTTGTGGTAATCAAACTGTTTATCACTCTACTTAACCCAAGCAGAAAGTGCTTGTTATCAAACTAAGTTACGGTAATGATATAAAAAAAACCTATGGTAATGTTTTAAAAAAAACGCACACTAAGTTCCATTACTCTCACTAAATTAGAATCAAAGTTATCAGTTCCAAAGCATCATTATATCACATTGTTTACATCAGGCGGAGGACAACTAAAATAATAAAAGTTAATTAACCATAGCACAAAAGGGTTTTGAAATAGGAATTCAAATATTCTCACCTTTAACAATTCTTTCCGTAATTTTTCGTAATCTGTCATCATTTTGGCAGTTCCTTTTTGTTGAGATGTGTAACGGTCACTTAAAGTAGCACCCATTTGATGTTTTAATTCTGCTAGTTGTTTCTACAATACAACAATTAATATTCAAACTTCAATTACATATAGTTACAATCTGATTAAAATACAGATCTATATTTCGTTTCTTTTTTTTTTTATAATTCGATGGCCTCTACTACATGAAGATCTGACCAGTTGTAGTGGAAGGTTGCGTCAGGGGTCATACAAGCAGCTTTTGACCTATGACGTCAGACATTTATTAATCAATCAGCGTTGATGTCTCTAGTGGGTTACCCACAGTTCCGTGCACCTCACATCAAAAACTTGCCGTAACAGACTGTTTCATTGGCTAATCCCTCACATCATCTAGAACATGGGTTATATAACAACTTTTCCAGATCCTTGTGTAGTACAGACAAGTAAAACGAAGTTTTGAACTATAAAAAAAACGAAATGAAATAGGATCTGTGTTTTAATCAGATTGATATAGTTAATAAACAATACTGTACTGCTATGGAATGCAATCCAATATTACCTACATTATTCTTATGTTTTCTTTTACTCAACCTAGAAAATGTTTACTTATAAATTAAAAAAACACTGCAATAAGAATATGTTACCTTCAATCCCTCATTTTCGTGTTTAAGAAAAGATATTTGTTCTGATCCTGATCCACTAGCTGAACGTTTTAACATTTCATTATCAGCTTGTGTTTTCTCTACAACTTTCTTTAATAAAGCTATAGTCTTTTCTAATTCACGAGTACTTTTACCACTCTCACCAATCTAAATATACAGATAATGTTTATTAATTCATTTGAAAAAGGTTGTACAAGTAGAATATTTAAATTTTAGAAAACAAGCAAATCTTGAGGCTGATGTCCAGTGCCTTAATCGCAAAATAAATAGATAACACTTATTTATTAACTGCATATTTATTTTTTGATATAATATCTAGCAATTAAGCAGCAAATGTTCATTATTGATTAGTTGTTCCAAACACTAGTTGTTATTCATCAATTCTAGGGCCATTATATTATTGTATTTTAATACCATATACACAATAAACAAGCAAACCGTGAGCATCAATCTCAAAATAAATAGATGACACTTAATAATTACTTGTCTTTTTATAAAGCATTGAGTAATCTAATTATTTATCACTCTGCTTAATCCGAGCAGAAAATAACTTTGTCAAGGTATTGATTTGATGTAATCAAACTATGCACCAAGTTTCATCACTTTCATTCAATTAGAATAAAAGTCTCAAACAATCAAATTGCTTATCAAGCTGATTAACCTGAACTCAGTCAAGACACTGACCTTATGAACATCTACAGAGTTTGAACAGTCTACCTCATATATTTGTGTATAGAATATAAAAGCAGAGTTATTGTGTCCCAAAAGGTGTGATGGACAGACAGAATATGGATAGACGAGCTGACAAATCCATTTGAACAGTGCACTGCTTTATCCGAAAGGCGGCGGATAATAAAATATCAACAGTAACACTAAACATATTATATTTAATAATAACACAATCTACTCGTACTTCTTATATATATATAATTCTGGAAATGAATTTTTATAAGCTCCAGCTTGTTTTCAGAAGCCATAATTACATATTGTATCTTTAGATTATGTAAATACTGATAGAATAAATATTGTTAGAAATAAAAAAAAATATATAATTAAACATACTCTTTTGATACTGGAGATTGATGAAGACATAGATCGGGCTGAATTATGACCACTTAATAGACCATTTTCATACTTTAAAGCTTCTACATATTTCTGTAAATCTGATACTCTTTCCTAATGGATAAATACAAACAATATACTTTAATAATGAGATACTCTTTCATAATGGATAAATACAAAATTTTATTTTTTAATAACCTGATAAATACAAACAATATACTTTAATAATCTGATACTCTTTCCTAATAGATAAATACAAACAATACTCTTTAATTATGTGATACTCTTTCCTAATTATAAATAATCTGAACGGCGGAAACCGTTGGACCCGGAGAAAACCCACAAGGTTGGACAGGCGACCCTATTCCTTGTCACGTACTACCGGGGAATCAAAACCACGCCAGTTGACTCAATGACAAACCTTATGATACAGCGTGCAGTGCTAACCATTTGGCCATCCACCCCCACCCCCCCCCCCAACGGTTTCCGCCCACTGCTAAAGACCCCTATGCGCAAGCAAATTATTGAAATAAGATTAAACCATATGTTAGTCCCAAAATGACCTAGTTTGTGTGGAGTGGACATTAAACCCCATTTGTTGGCGTCCACACTAGGGCTGTTCCCGGGCTGAAATTTGGTGTATTGGGGTAGCTTAGACTGGGGAGTAACACAAACCTGGTGACGATGGACTATCACCATCCCCAACCCCCCGGCCAAAGCCTGGCAGCCATCTAGTACTATCTTTCGTCAAGACAAGTTGTATGTAATACCATACTTACTTTTTGTCTGGGAATATCTTTTCTGCTCTGTTCCGCTTCAAATCTTAATTCTATGTTTTCTTCAGATAATTTTAAAACATCTTTTTGTAGTTGTTGATTTTTTTCAAATAAAAGTTGATATTCAACTGCTGATACTGTTCCTTCCTATGGAATACAATCAATGGTTTATTATACATATGGAGTGGAATCATTGAATTTAACTGGTAAATTAAAAGGTAAATATATTAAAACAAGGAACAACCTGACTCTTCTAATTAGTTGTTACTTGTTTTTGTACATGTATATATACCTTATGTATATTATATTCATACTCATTTGCTTGAAAACGTTGAGAGAACCCTCAACGAAACGTCGCTTTAATTAAACTAGTAATTGTGTTCCATATGTATAATAAAATCATTGATTGTTTTCTGTATAAATGGTCATAAGTGTTTTAATATGCTCAATTGCTCAAGACCATGCAACGATTAAATTGGAAATCCCATTACTAAAGTACAAGACTGCAGGCTAAAGATGCTGATATTGAGTGTAAATAAAAGTATCTAGATTTAGATACTACATGTACATAATGAAAACACACATTAGCTGTAACAAAGTAAAAGAAATAGCCGGCCTTTACTTATTATTCATCACTCTTATTTCATGACTGATGACATATTAACAAGGTCTTCAGTAATAAAATGCATAATTATAGTTCTTTTCGTTCGTTTGTTTCTGAGGTTTTACATCCACTTCCACCTAGGGTGATATCGTACACAATAGTTCTTTTCGAAGAACTACACCTTTTATACATCAAGTAGTTGCGCCAGAAATTTCTTCTGGCATGAAGCCAATAGATTGTAATGAACAAAAGCTATCGGTAAGGCCAATGTGATAAGTCCACCAACACAACAGAAATACTTTGTTTACCTCAGCTTGTGATTTCAAAGCTCTCTGTAATTGTTCTACTTGTTCAGCTAGTTGTTGGTTACGTAGTTGAATATCTTTGTTTATATTTGGATCACTTTGTAACATTTTCCTTCTCAGACTGTTTATCTAGAGAAAAATAAACTATAGTATATTATCAGTTTTCTTTGTGTATACTATTACAACTAAGCTATATATATATACACAGAGCTTTTGTTTGTTAACCATTACCTAAAGTTATTGAGATCACATATCACTAGAAACATAGCCTAATATTATTGTATGCATGACACTATTAATGTACTATTGATAACTTAGGCCAATAAAAGTTAAAAACCTTTAGCTTGACAATTTCAGCCGTCATGTCTAAACTTGTCATAGAGTTCAAAATGTCAGCCATTAGAATAAAAACCATAAATGAAATGCAGTTTAATATCCTACTGTTCTGCTCCAAACTGGGCTAATGAAGACTGGCATATGCCATACAGTGTGCTTTGAGAGAAATTTTGCCTGGACAGCAGCACTACAGCCTACTCTTATATCGAATTCCAACTGCCAAGAGATCTTTTACGTGCATACCAATGTGTACACGGGACCTTCGTTTTTCGTCCCATCTGAATGACTAGACAGCTGTCCTTGCCAGGCCCTCCGTCCTGCACCACTGACAAGGGTAAACCTCATCGGAAATGAAAACCATAAGCTTTGCTGATATCCAATATGAATTTTCAGCTCTTTTGGACATTTAAGAAATAATATCTGTAATTACCTCTTCTTGTAGATTATAGTTTCTCTGTTTGAGATCCTCCATATCATGTTGTTTTTTAGTTGGTGGTGCTGCTCCTAGTCCAGGTACAGTAGTACGAGATAAAGCTCTAGATCTAGCTTCTACACTATCTTTCTCCCTAGACACTCTACAGACATTGTAAAAAAATATAAATGAAATGAAATGAAATGTGGTTTTATGGCACGTCAGCTCCAACCGGGTTATATTGCGGCAAACATATGGTGAATATTACGAGACAGGAAAAAAAAAAAAAATATCTTTGCTACTGGTAATAGCAAATAAAGGATTAATGAAAACAAATTTGTTGATTTTATCTTTTATTAATGACATAACTACACATAAAATGATGACATCATTCTTGTTGTTATGGTAACCATGCATGTACTTCTTAATTAACAATTTTACCAGATAAGCCTTGAAAAAAGCTTTCTAAATCAGATATTTGCTACTGCACAACAAAAATATTATTAATTTGTTGATTTTATCTTTCATTAATGACATCACTACACGTAAAATGATGACATCGTTATGGCAACCATCCGTTTACTTTAATTCTTAATTAACAATCTTACTAAATATGCCTTGAAAAGAGCTTTCTAATCAGGTATTTGCTACTGCACAACAAAAATATCAATTATCTGACTAAATTTGTATCAAAACTCAAATTATTACGTAAAAATCTCTGTTTAGATGGTGAAAACTGATAAAACTTAAAGTAAAATTGCCTTGTAAAAACAGAGAGAGAGAAATGTCCACTTGACACAAACTAGGTCATTTTGGGACTAACAAGGTTGGACAGGTGACCCTACTCCTTGCCACGGACAACTGGGGAATCAAAACCACACCAGTTGACTCAATAACAGACCTTATGATGCAACGCGCACATGCTTACCCTTCGGCCATCCCCCACACCCAGTTTGTAAAGTAGAATATGATAACATACCTGTCCATATTCGCTTTCATCATTTCAATAGTTTTATTTAACCTTTCGACTTCACTTTCTCTATCTCTTAATTTACCCTTCATTTTCTCAACAGTTCTCTGCCATTTTTTACTTTCTTCCCATTTAGCAAGGTCATCAACCTAGAAGATTAATACATTTATGTATTGTTATAGAATAACATTTTACAATCAGGGGCCATAATTCTGGGATGAAAATGTGGGCATATAAAAATACATATAACATTAAATAAAAGTTTTAAAACATTTAAATATTAAAATGCCAACATGTTCACAGCTTAAAAAGTTCAGTTTTAAGATTCTTTTTAAAAAAAACCATGACCAGGTAACTCATTCCAATTAAAATCAATCAGAAAAACCTCAAATGAAATAACCTTTTTTTCCTCCTTTTCGTAAGGTTTTTCTGCTGTCTGCTGTTTCTTCTTCAGTTCTTCTTCTAGCAGACGCAGTCTACGTCTAGCTTCATCCAGTTCTTGATGTCTTTCAAAGTCACCGGTTTTCTATAAAATGATATAATGGAAGGTCGTATAATTTACAAGAACCAATAAATCGTTAAAAGTTGTGTTGAGTAAAATAGCAATACCACATACATGCATCAATTCAAACAATCACCACTTTCAAAACCATTGAAGTTTATATCATAACTATCTTCTATTTAAATTATTTATAGTTTTATCCCACCTGATTTCCATGGTATTCATACCATTGAAGTTTTTTTCAAATTATTTATCATATTATCCTACCTGATTTCTCATGGTATTCATTCGTTCTATTTTCTTCTCTAATTCATCTACTTCCTGTTCCAATCTTTGTTTATCAGCTTTAAGCTTAGATACAGTTCGCTCTTTTTGGGCTAAAAGATACATTATGGGAGATTAGATAAAGAGCTGGTAGTTCTCACTATAATAGTTAAAAACTAGATAATGTAAAAGGAATTTGCTGAAAATTTCAGTCAAATTGATCCACCCTGAACCCGAGTATTAAGCGATTGAATTTTGGGCCTAGCCTCGATCCATATGATAAAAAACATAGTCTCGATTATCCATTTTTTGATTTAATCAGAAGCAGCAGACTGGGTTCTAATCCAGTAAATATTGCAGGCTAGCGATACCATCGAGAGTTGATTATGGTCTGGATAAGTTAATTAATGTCTAATTAATAATTTAGATAACATTTCAGGCCTAAAGAAAGACCTGCAATATTCAGATTTAAGAGTTGTATAAATAAAGATTAATAAAATATCAACCTGTACATTAGATTAACTTGGACTCAGCAATGTATTTTAAGACTGGAACCACAGTGGTTTCCACCTGGACGGTGGTATAGGGCAAAGGGTCTGGCAAGGCGACAAAAATTGAGGTTGAGCGTACACCTTAAAGTGCACGTAAAACAACACTTGAAAGTTGGAATTCAATTGCTTACCGGTTAACTCATTGCATGGCGTATATCCATCTTCATTAGCCCAGTTGGAGCAGAAAAGTAGGATGTTAACCCCCTTTCATTCATTCAATCAGTATTTTCAGATTAGTTAACCCGTTAACTGTGTAGTTTTTAAAACGTTAACTACCCCCTATTGTGTAATTAATTAGACGAAAAACGTCATTTTTAGACCTTTTTATTCCTGAATACAAATGATAGTATTCTGAAACCATATTAAAACTAACGGTAAATAGAGTTGTCTCCCTTCAATTAGATTTCCTTGACCAGGCGTAATATGACGTCCTACACATGCTGCGATCGTATGTTCGAAGAATAGGTTGGGGAAAATACCTCCAAGGCATTATATTACGTCCTACACACGGTGAGTGGCAGTTGTCCAGGACGTTATATAACGCCCTATGCATTTAACGGGTTGAAGGCTCCTTTCTCTAGGGTTGATAATCAAACTGACAATGATCATTCATGAGGCAGTGTATGTCCATTCTAGTTTATTTGAAGACATCATAAATCTAACGATGTTTTTGTATATATGTGTAGAAATAAAACACGATATGTAACAGACCTAGTTCTTCTTTTGTATCTTCTAATTCAGCAGTTAATGTTGTCTGTGTTTCTTTTCTCTTCTTCAATTCTTTCCTCTGTTTATCTGTTTGAATTTGTAAATCTTCAATTTGTTCCTAGAGAAATAAATAATATCAACAACATTGTAACAGACTCCAACTAATTACTTACTCCTAGATACTGATATTTCACTTCAGATCTAAAATTTTGCATACAAATGACTATAAGAGTCCATGGGATTTTTCAGAAATGAGCTTAGAAGCTATCTGATTAAAATACAGATATATATTTCGTTTCGTTTTTTTTATACTTTGGATGGCCTACACTACATGAAAATCTGACAGGTTGCAGTAAAGGTCATGTCAGAGATCGTATGAACAGCTTTTGACCCTATGACGTCAGACATTGATTAATCAATCAGCGTTGACGTTTCGAGTGGTTTACCCACAGTTCCGTGCATTGCACACCAAGAAGTCGCGGTAACAGACCATTTCATTGGCTAATCCCTAACATCATCCAGAACGCAGGTTATATAACAACTCTTCCAGATATTAGTGTAGTACAGACAAATAAAACGAAATTTTGAATTATAAAAAACGAAATGAAATAGGATCTGTGTTTTAATCAGATTGGCTTAGATGCTGTTTTTTGAGTTATTATTTACTCTGAATAAGGTCAAATTTTGTTGAATTTTTAAAATTTTGCAAATATTTTCGGGAATCTTTTATGGATTAAGATTTTTCGGTGTACGAGAATCTTAATGTAAATCCATTTCTGTGATTTTTACCACAAATATCATCTAACTTACGTTTAATTGTTTTGTTTGTTGATCAATCAAGCGTTGTATATTTTTTTCTTGTCCCACATCTTCTAGATTAGATTTAACCGTCTCTTGTGCCTGGGCCACCATATCAGCACGTAGTTCTGTCAATGCTTTACTTAATGCCTGGTAATAAAAAAATACCCTGTACTTGACACAAATTTACACAAGATAAAGACAGATGAACTGGTCATAGAAAATTTAGTTTGTCGTGAAAAAATAACGAAACTAGAAAACATCTTAGGTTTGACATGAACTTAACCCAAGACATTAGATTTCAAGTCTGATTTCACAGCCACATATCCAATGAAAATGAAATGAAATGGGGTTTAACATCCTACTGTTCTGCTCCGACTGGGCTAATGAAGACGGGCCAATGAAAATAAAATGTGGTCTAACTTCCTACTGTTCTGCTCCAACTGGGCTAATGAAGATGGGCATAAGGCATACAGTGTGCTATGAGGAGAATTTTGCCTGAACAGCGGCACTACGGCCTACCCTTATTTCTAATTCCAACTGCCAAGGGATCCTTTTATGTGCACGCTAACATGTACACAGGACCTTGGTTTTTCGTCCCATCCAAACGACTTACATATCCAGTGAGTGCTCACCTTAAGTGCGAGATTTTGTATTAATTTGAAATAGACGATACCTGATGTTGTTTTTCTTTAAGAGCTAGTTGATTTTTTAATCTTTCTACCAAATTCTTCATAGTTGTTGTAGGAGCACGATTATTAGAATCTTTTAATGTATTAATCTCTTCATTTAATATTTCTATTTCTTTCTTCAGTTCTGTTATTATTCTTCTACTTTCGTCATTCTGCATACCTTTTTTTTCATCCTCTACTTTAAATACAGCTGTTACTCTATAAATAAACCATAAGATACAATCAAAATAATAAAATAATTCAACTTTTCTAAAAAAAACAACAATAGTCATTCGGATGGGATGAAAAACCGAGGCCCTTTGCACAAATTGGCGTGTACATAAAAGATCCCTTGGTAGTTGGAATTCGATATAAGAGTAGGCCATAGTGCCGCTGCCCGCGCAAAATTTCCCTCATAGCAAACTGTATGGCGTATGACCATCTTCATTAGCCAAGTATAGGAACAGAACAGTAGGATGTTAAACCAAATTTCATTTCATTTAACGTCCTACTGTTCTGCGCTGACTGGGCTAATGAGGGCATACGTTATACAGTGTGCCATGAGGGAAATTTTGCCCAGACAGCGGCATTAGGGCTACTCTTATATCAAATTCCAACTGTCAAGGGATCTTTTCTGCGCACGCCAATGTCTACATGGGACCTTGGTTTTTCATCCCATCCGAACGACAAGACAGCTGTCCATCGTATAGTATAATAAAACATTAAATCCTGGACGCATTTCACCAGGAGAAATTATGACAACTGGCCCTAAAAACTCAGGATTTTTAAGTCCGACTACTGAGTTGCTGCTAATGAAAGACATGAATGTATGAATACACCACCTACTTCTCTTTTTCTGTAAAATGTTGTTTCTCTGTTTGATGTAATCTAACACGTAGTTGATCTATTTCACTCTCTCTCCGACGTAATTTTTCACTCAAAGCAGCTAAAGCATTGTCTGATTCTGCTACCATATCTTCTAATTCATGCAAACGGAGTAACTGTTAAAGATACATTATGTAAGATTTAGATAAAGAACTTGCCATTCTTGCTATTATAGCTCAAAAATAGATAATGTAAAATGAAAATATTGAAAATTTCATTCAAATTACTTCATTCTGAGCCAAGTTATTACTGTTTGTAGTTTTGACAAGATGTGTGCATTGTGGTAACCAGGGCACTGGTGTATTCGAGCCTCACTTTCCCATTTTTAAATTAAATTTTTAAATGGTGAACCATTAAAATCTTGTGTATCCGATACCATCGAGAGTTGATTATGGTCTTGTTGTCTAATTAATAGTTTATATAACATTTCAGTCCTAAAGAAAGAACTGCAATAAGCAGATTTAGCTCTTGTATAATGTATGTTTAAATAATAAAAATGACAAATTGAGAAAGTTTAAGCAGGGTACTGTCGTATTGCCCAAAAATTGACAATTAACATTCTAAATAACCTTAAAAAAGTTGTAAGAGGTTCATTCAATATGTTATTTAATCATACTAACAAAGGTTCTGATATTACCCATGGACACCATAAAAAGAGGAAGAAAAATGGGGTTTAACGTCTACTCGACACAAACCAGGTCATTTCGGGACTAACATATGGTTCAATTTTATTTCAATAATATCCTTGTGCGTAGGGGTTTTTAGCAGTGGGAAGAAACCGGAGGACGAGGTTGGACAGGCGACCCTACTCCTTGTCACATACAACCGGTGAATCGAAACCAAGCCAGTTGACTCAATGACAGAGCTTATGATACAACGCACACGTGCTAACCATTCGGCCATCCAACCTCCCCACATTTATGATGCAGCGCGCACACGCTAACCATTCGGCCTCAGCCCCCCCCCCCCCGTCCACACACACACACACATTTACTAGGCAAATAATAATCAGTTAATGATAAGTTAAAGGTACCTGTTTGTCTGTAGGGCCTCTAGATGTCATCTGTTTATGCATTAACGCTTGAGTAGCTTCTTTAAATTTATTAAAAGCATCATCTGTTTTAAGATGTATTTTCTGTTGCATAGATTTCAGCTCTTCTTCATGTCGTCTATTCATTTCTTGCATATCTTCTCTAGCTTGATTTAATAATTCTTGATATTTAATAATAGTTTCTTCTTTCTGTTGTATTCTTTGCTATAAATATACAGAATGTGTTCATTTTATCTACCTGTCCCCTTCTTTTAACTCAGTTAACGATTACAACAACAATATAACACCTATGTCTTATTATAGATTATTGCTCTATCCAGTTACTAAATGCTTCTAAATTTATCTACCTGTTCCCTTCTTTCAACTCAGTTAATGATTACAACAATATCATACCTGTGTCTTATTATAGATTATTGCTCTATCCAGTTTCTAAATGCCTCGAAAAGATTAATAGTAAACCCAATCTGATTAAAACACAGATCCTATTTCGTTTCATTTCTTACAGTTCAAAATTTTGTTTTACTTATCTTTACTACACTAGGATCTGGAAGAGTTGTTATATACTATTCAAAAAAAGTAGGGGATATTTGATTTTGGGGGCATAATACTAAAATATGCAAATGACTACGAAAAAAGTCACTATAGAACCTAACAGAAGACACATTTCCAGTTACATGTGACGCCCAAACGCACCAATAGCTACCGCATGGAATGCAGGTGATGCTTGGGATCATCATGGGGGTCCAACCCAAGATTTGCACGACTCTGACTTTGAATGTTACAGTCATTGTGGCATTGAATTCCAGGGTGGAAACATCAGTTTAATTGTTTGAGTGACCAGAAAACAAATTTTGATATGCGTCGGCTTACCCAAATTGAAAGGTTACGTGCCCTTGGCATGCTACAGATCGGCACAACAAAGGCGGTTGTGGCGCGGACGATGAATGTTTCTCAGTCTGTCATAAGCAGGCTATGGTCCAGATACCGTGATACACAATCTGTACAGGACAGACCACGCTCAGGTCGACCAAGGGCGACAACTCAAGCCCAGGATCGATTTATCCGTACCTTGGCCTTGAGAAATCGTGTCATCACAGCAAATCAGATCAGCGCTCGTCTTCAAACAGACACTGGTGTGAGAGTGAGTGGCCAGACGATTCGGAATCGACTGCATAGGGGTCACCTTTGCGCCCGACGTCCTCGCGTGATCCCTTGTTTGAGAGATCATCACATTCAGGCAAGACGTCATTGGTGTAGGGATCGTCAACACTGGGATAATCGACCCTGGAGCAATGTGATGTTTTCAGATGAGTCAAGGTTCACTGTTGATTTTTTGGACAGACGTAGGAGGGTGTGGCGTCATCGAAACGAGCGCTTCCAAGACGTTAACGTCATCAGACATGATCGATTTGGGGGTGGTTCTGTTATGGTGTGGGGAGGCATCACTGTTGCTGGAAGAACGGCTTTACATGTTGTTGCAGGGCGTGTTACAGGCCAGTACTACCGGGACAACATCTTGGCAGTCCATGTTGTGCCGTTCGCACGACGTCATGGCCGCCGTTTCATCTTCCAGGATGACAACGCAAGATGTCACAGGGCCAGGATCGTTACAGGTTACCTCCAACAACAGAACATCACCACATTACTTTGGCCAGCACTGAGTCCCGACCTCTCCCCCATCGAGCATGTCTGGGACATGCTTGGACAGAGGTTACGTCAACGTCAACAACGTCCTGCCAATGTCCAAGAACTTGCTGCTGCGTTGCAACAGGAATGGGACAATCTGGACCAAAATGACCTTAGACATCTCATTAGGAGTATGCCACGTCGGATCAATGCTTGTTTGGCAAACAGAGGAGGATTTACCCGTTACTGACTTGGTTGTGATGCTGTGGTAACTTTGCTGTTTGACCCCGGTTATCATTTTACCCTTATAATGGTCAGTCTGTGCCTTACTTAGTCTAACGATCATTTGGAATAAATCGATGAATGTGAACTTCATTTCATTTTGTCATTTGTTTCTTCGTCAGTTTCATTAGGTGACTTTAATAACACTTAAAAATCAAATATCCCCTACTTTTTTTGAATAGTATATAACCCTCATTCTGGATGACGCGAGGGATTAGCCAATGAAACAGTCTGTTACGGCTAGTTTTTGGCGTGAGGTGCACGGAAATGTCGGTAACCCACTAGAAACATCAACGTTGATGGGTTAATCAAATGTCTGAAATCATAGGGTCAAAAGTTGCTTGTATGACCCTTGACACGACCTCCCAGGACAGTGGGGTCTACAATCAATTGATTTTAATTAAACAAAAAAAGACAAGAGAATTTTTGGAGTACCTTTCCAGTACATCTTCTTTACATCAATTGATGATTTCACAATTCAAGAAATGTGATACAAAGGTAGGTAACTCACAGAATCTAAGAACCTTGCATGTGAACCTATGATCTTACAGTGTTGAAAATTTTACAAAACACAGAAATTTAACAAGTGTCAAGCTAAGTGCCATGGCGACATTTAATTTCAATTCCATGAGTCAGGTCATATAGCACATGCCTGAGATTTTTAGCTGTAAATAGAAATAGAGAACCACAACCCTTGTCACTTTGGGGATGCTCAGTTGTCAGTCCGGAACGTCCCAAATTGACAGAATTACAATTGAGTGAGACTGTATTCAGTCCTGTTACAGTTCTGTCAGTCTCGACAACGGAGGTGGTGTGAGTAGAATCGTGACTTAAGTTAACACAACTAATATGTTTCAGCTGTCATGGTTGGTTGAGATATTATCTTATGTATTCCACGCATGCGGTGTTGCACAAAATACCCCTTTCACTTGAATGTCACTAATTTGGCGATTGAGAGACTTTAATTCTGGAACGTTCAATCGAGTATCCCCATACTAACATCCTTGATTAATTCCCTTTTTCAACTGGCCAAAAATTTCAGGGCAATGTAATAGATTTATAAAAATTCAATACATTACCTTCAAACTGTTAATGGTAGATTGAGCAATTCTCAATGCTTGTGTTTCCTCAAAGTCAACATTTTTAGAATGTGTATGTATAGCTGATTCTGCTGTTTTAGCTGTAGCTTTCAGTATAATTTCATCTCTATCGGCTGTAGCTGGCATTCTCAGACGTAATTCAGATACCAGTTTATCTCTCTGTATAACTGTATGCTCTGCATTACGAAGATTTTTCTCCAACTCAGCAACTCTCTATTATAATAAAATTCAAAATTAAACAGGATACATTAATAATAAATTGAAACACTTAGCTCTCTTCCTTCAAATAATTCAAAACAATCACCAAAGAATGGAATGGAATAGAGTAACATGCGAGGTAGGATCATTTTAATCTGCTTCAATTTCCAAATATCAAGGCTTCTGTTACATATGCAGACATGAGTTGACCTCAATTTTCAATTCTATTCTAACAACTAGTAGGGTGACCCGCGCACTCTACAGAAAGTTGGTCTCAACACGGCTAATGTGCACGCTTCAGTGGTTGTGTCTCGAACTACAATGCCCTCACTCCTTCCTCCTCATTACAAGAGAGAGAGAGAGAGAGAGAGAGTGTATACCGTCCACAACACAAACTAGGTCATTTTGGGACTAACATACAGTTCAATTTTTTTCTCAATAATTCGCTTGCCCCTACTCCTTGTCACGTACAACCGGGGAATCGAAACCACACCAGTTAGCTCAATGACAGGCCTTACTTGCACAGCATCAATACTGAAAATAATGAATGATGATGACAATGACGAAGACGTGAATGACACAGTATAAAATAACTAACCTGTTTAAGATGTTTTGACTCAGCCTGTGTATCTAGTATAATTTTAACATTACTTCTAATAGTTGTTATAGCTTGTTCTAACTGATTGGCTACTGGCAGTTTAGCATCAGGTAAATTACCCAAAGCTTCTTCAAACTAAAATACAGACAATCATACAAACGTTAATACCATACAGAGAGGAGCAGTGTATAATATACTGCACAGAAATTATTCTTCATCGGTACAGGAAATTAGCTTATAAATAATCCTTCGTGATAAAGAATTAAAGATATTAAAGGTGTCATCATTCACAGAATACAATATTTATCATTGACATATCAATTATTTCATTTGAAATGAAATGGGGTTTAACTAACGTCCTACTGTTCTGCTCTGAATGGACGAATGAAGACGGGCATACACCATATGCAGTGTGCTATTAGGGAAATTTTGCCCGGACAGCAGTGCTATGGCCTTCTCTATTCGTAATCCAACTGTTAATGTTTCTTTAATGTGCACACCAATGTGTACATGGGACCTAGGTTTTTCGTCCCATCCAAACAACTATACATTGTCCCTTGCCAGGCCTTCCGTCCTATACCACTAACAAGGGGGAACCATGCTGGAAAATCCCGATGAACTTTCTCGGTCAATGCAGGGATCGAACACGGGACCTCCAGGTTAGCGAGCCAACCTAAAAACCCACTGAGCCAGCGAGGCTCCCTATTTTATTTGAATGACTATGTAAATATACCTGTGAAGCAGCACCAGCTATTTGTGAAGCATTTCGTTCTAATTGAGTTATATTTCTCTCTAGTTCTACTTCTCTTTGTTCCCATATTAACTGTCTCTCTTCATAATCCTATAACATACAAAAATAGATATAACATAACATAACATTCAAAAATAGATATAACATATTAACTGTCTCTCTTCATAATCCGATAACATACAAAAATAGATATAACATAACATAATATAAATCACAACATTCAAAAATAGATATAACATAACGTGACGTGACGTCACAGAGCGTAGCATAGCCCAACCTAACCTATACTAACCTAACATAATATAAATCATAACACGCAATTTATGAAATAAAGATGAATTCCTGATAATACTTCTTACTGAATTCTCTAATGACAATCTAATGTGCTCATATTATCAAAGTATTAATCAAATAACTAAATCACCGAATTTCATGTAGCCAGAATAAAACTTACCTTTGTCAGTCTCACATAATCAGCTTCTAGATCGGTTATCGTTACTTCATGTGATCTAATAATATCTTCTAAATATCGAATCTACAACATAACAATACCAGAAAATTCAAACATATAGTACTAATTTTAACTGGAGTAAATTCACTGAGATACAATCTGATTAAAACACAGATCCTAATTGGTTTCGTTTTTTGTAGTTCAAAATTTTGTTTTACTTGTCTTTACTACACTAGGATCTGGAAGAGTTGTTATACAACCCGCATTCTGGTTAAGTGAGGGATTAGCCAATGAAACAGTCTGTTGCAGCAAGTTTTTGGCGTGGCTATCCTACTAGAAAAATCAAAACTGACTGGTTAATCAAATGTCTGACGTCACAGGGTCCAAAGTCGCTCATATGACCCCTGACATGACCTCCCACTACAACTGGTTAGATCTTCATGTAGTAGTATAAAAAAATGAAACAAAATATAAATCTGTATTTTAATCAGATTGACTTGGCTAATGAAGATGGCACTGAGATAAGAAATGATGTCTGTTGCTATTAACGCTTTAAAGTATGAGGTATCATTAAAATAAAATATGATATTAAATGATATTAAAACAACATAAGATATTAAAACAACAGAAGATATTAAAATAAGATATGATATTAAAATAAAATATGATATCATAATAAGATATGATATTAAAATAAGATATGATATCAAAATAAGATATGATAATAAAATAAAATATGATATTAAAATAAAATATGATATCATAATAAGATATGATATCAAAATAAAATATGATATCAAAATAAAATATGATATCATAATAAGATATGATATCAAAATAAGATATGATATTAAAATAAGATATGATATCAAAATAAGATATGACATCAAAATAAGATATGATATCATAATAAGATATGATATCAAAATAAAATATGATATTAAAATAAAATATGATATAATAAGATATGATATCAAAATAAGATATGATATTAAAATCTGTTTATATTTACTTGTCCATTTAATTTAGTTGTCTGCCGTTTTAGTCGTAATTCTTCTAGACGAATAGCATCCATTTTACCATGCCATTCTTTAACCTTGGCTGCACCATGACCATCTTTTAAAGTATTTATTAATTCTTGTACACTTTCATGTTTTAATTTTAAGGCAGCAACTTCATCCTCCATGTCTTCTTTTTGCTTTCGGATCTGATAACATATTTAATTCATTAGAAAATACAAAACACGATAATATCATTCTAATTTCATGAATTATTATCATGATAAATTGTTTTCACTATCTATAAATCTGTACCTACACACAGAAATATCACACATCATAAATATTACTTTATGACTATCAATAATATGGAAAAACAGATAGTTCTCTTATTGCATTTTTGTCTGTTTGCTTGTTTCAAGTTCTCCTAGCCAGTTGTTGTTAAATGTGTATATGTGTGTGTGTGTGTATGTGTGTACATGAATTCAAAATAATGCTTAGCTGGTCCTAATAAAAATAGTGATATAATGATTGTGTTACCATTATACAAATTCAATATGATACTCACATCTCTCATTTCTAGTTCTAGTTTCGATTTATCATTCTGTAGGTTTACCATTAATTTAGAGAATCTTTCTTGTTTAGATAAAGGTACAGCACCAGCAAACTGTATACGCAATTCCTGAAATATTCAAATTTATCTACAATTAATTCATCTAAACTACCAAAATATCAGGAATCTTATCTATCATTTGGTATGTAATATCAAATAAAGAGAGAGAGAGAAATGGGGTTTACCGTCCACTCAACACAAACTAGGTCATTTTGGGATGAACATATGGTTCAATTATATTTCAATCATACACTTGCACTTGGGGGTCTTTAGCCGTGGGAGAAACCGGTGGACCTGGGGAAAACCCATGAGGTTGGACAGGCGACACTGCTCCATGTCATGTACTACTAGGGAATCAAAACCACGCCAGTTGACGTAATGACAGACCTTATGATACAACTCGCACGTGCTAACCATTCGGCCATCCAACCACCCAAATGTCAAATAAAGTTTGTCAATAAAAATCAAATTTAACTTTAACTGTACCTGTAAACTACGTTTGAGATATCTGCATTTATTTTGGGCTTCAGTTCGGTTGTGATATATAGTTTTATCTTTCTCATCCAGTCTCTGTTCCAGTCGGAGTACATGTGCTTCCCGTTTGGTGATTTTTTTCTTGGCTTCTTCCCATTTTTTAATAGCCATACCTTCACTGACTTGTAACTGTACAATATGTCTATGAAGCTTACCTTTTTTAATAGAATTTGTTTACAGAATACAAATATTGAATATGTGGATGTGGACATTTATTATTTCAACTTACATAAAACATTTGGAAACATGACTTTAATTGAAATTGAATGTTTTGATTTGATCCACAAAACATTTGTGTTAAAGGGACAATAACACTCTTGCTGGCTTGACAGCTCCAGAAAATAAATAATAGCCTTATTCTAAGTATTAGATGTTTAAGTGTCCCACCTGTTGTGTAAATTATCCATTACATCATATTTTACTTGTCCAGAGGGTTCGAAAATATTTTTAAATCCAAGTCACATTTGAAAAGGTTTGAAAAGGCTTTCCAAATCATTTAGTTGAATTTTTTCAATTTTTTAAATTAGGTGTGTTAAGATGAAATTTGTATCATCAATTAATTGGAATATTGTAATAGTACAATTTGTTGACCAGAATAAAGATTGGGACATATTCAGTTCCAACAAGAGTGGTATTGAGTCTTTAAATTTTTTTTGATATTTTTCAATATTAAGTAGATTTAATCAATGTTGAGAGAAAATGATTTAGTCAGTTTGACACTTGATGTCAGAAATGAAACTAAAATTTAATACTGACTTATCTGGACGTTTAGAAGAACTATGATAAAATGTTCAAATTATACAGGGATGAAGTTATTGTGACTTATAAAAGAGTTGTTAAACAATACTATGTTTAAAAGTGGTATGAAATGGAATGAAGTTTAAGGAGGAAACCGGAGGACCCGGAGAAAACCCACAAGGTTGGACAAGCGACCCTACTACTTGTCACGTACAAGCGGAAAATCGAAACCATGCCACTTGACTCAATGACAGATCTTGTGATTTCACGCGCACGTGTTAAACCACTAGAACACCCAACCGACCACACACAGGTCCAATGTTGGGGAAGAGAATTGTGCTTGAACAGCAGCATTTTCAGCAGCTCTTCACTGGATTTCAAATGTCAAGGGATCTTTTACATGCAAACCATGCACGTTTTTTACTCTCACATTTGCATGCCCTGCAGTTACTACCGCTGACAGGTGGGCTTGAAAATCCAGGATTTGTACCTAGGACATTCTAGCTGAGAATCTAGTACCTTTATTATTTTATTATCATACCTATAATAGTTTTTTCATCACTTTGCATCTGGAAATCAACAAGTTGTTGACGTAATGATTTACATTCTTTTTCTCGTGAAACATGCTGCATTTCTAATGTTTTAACTTGTGATCCAGCTACTTCTGATATTTCCTACAAAACAATATAATAAATTAAATGGGGTTTAACATTCTACATTTCTCCACCAACTGGGTTAATGTAATAATATCAGACTTCCTTGTAGTGTTTCCTTTGCGAAACATAAACAAATGGAGGATAGTGGCTAATTCGCTTGCGCGTAGGGATCTTTAGCAGTGGGAGGAAACTGGAGGACCCGGAGAAAACCCACGAGGATGGACAGACGACCCTACTCCTTTTCACGCACAACCTGGGAATCGAAACCACGCCAGTTGATTCAATGACAGACTTTATGGTACAGCACGCACATGCTAACCATTCAGCCATCCAACCCCCCAACATCTTTATAAACCCACATATATTTCAAATGACACGATTATAACTTACCTTTAATTTAGATATTTCTTGACGTAACATGACCCCTGATTCTTCTAGTTCTGCTATTTTCTTTCTATCAGCATCACTGACAACTTTAGATACAGAATCTGTAATATAATACGGTATGTTTACAAATCCAAAAATCAAGAAACAATAAATGCACAACTATTCTAAATGCTAGCAAGCACAAGCCAGTTTTGTCTAAATCAAATACTAGCCTATGTTCACCAACGATATGGCCAAGCTCCACCCTCCCCTCTCCACCCCCTTATGAAGTGGAATGAATTGATGTATAAACTACTTACTTGTTAATTCATCTCTTAAATCTCTTTCTACCTTCTGCATCTCTAGATTCATTTTAGTTGTCTGTAAAAATAAAACTTTCAATTAAACAAATTCTTCTTTAATACTTTAGACAATTAATTTCTTCTAAATCCAGAGAACAACAAAAGCTTTTTTTAAGGTTTCTTAATTGCCTAAAGTGATGTAATGCGATGAAATAGGATATGACGTCCTACTTTTCTGCACTGACTGGGATACTCAAGAGACAGACATATGCCATGCACTGTGTTATAATGAAAATTGTGCCCAGACAGCCGCGCCACAGCCTATTCTTAATTTGAATTCCTGCAGTCAAGGTTTCCTTTACGCGCATACCAACATCTACAAAGTACCTCATTTTTTGTCCCATCAGAACAACTAGACACCATCCCTTGCCAGGCCCTCCGTCATGCTTCACTGACAAGGGGAAACCACGTTGGGGAATCCGAAGGAACTTTCTAGGACAACACTGGGAGTGAACCCAAGACATCATGATAAGCGAGTCAGCAGCCTCGTCACAAAGGACCTTGTTTTTTGTCCCATCAGAACAACTAGGCACTTTCCCTTGCCAGGCCCTCTGTCATGCACCACTGACAAGGGAAAATACATTGGGGAATCCGAAGGAACTTTCTAGAACAACACTGGGAGTGAACCCAAGACCTCATGGTAAGTGAGCCAGTGGCTTACTCACTGAGTCACCACAGCTCCCTAAAGCGATGTACAAGACAATAATGACAATAATATAAATGAGGAGACAACATTTCTTACATCAGCAAATTTATCTTCTAGTGTTTTATTTCTGGTCTCTAGATCATGGAGTATATTTTTTTGTTGTTCATACATTCTAACAGCATGCTCTGCTCTCTGTCTCTCGTTTAATTCTTTCATCTCTAACATAGTTATCTTCTTAGATATAGATATAATATCACTATCTGTTACTTTAACATCACTACCATCTGTTACACCTATAGATATAAAAACAAGGTGATAAACACAGACAGATATAAAAGCAAGGTGATAAAAACAGATAGAGAAAAATGTCTGAAAATCATTTTGTCATGTAACACATGGCACGCAACTAACTTATGGTCCAATTTTATTTCAATAATTCGCTTGCATGTCAGGGTCTGTGATAAAAACATTAAACTAAAAGTGAAAGAGATGTTATAATACCTCAAAAATAATGTAAAATGAAAATATTGAAAATTTCATTCAAATTACTTCATTCTGAGCCAAGTTATTACTGTTTGTAGTTTTGACAAGATGTTCGAGACTTAGCCTCGCTTTCCCATTTTTAAATTAAATTTTTAAATGGTGAACTGTTTTAATCTAGTTAAAATCTCGAGTATTCGATGCCATTGAGAGTTGGTTATGGTCTTGTTTTGTTAATAAATGTCTAATTAATAGTTTATATAACATTTCAGGCCTAAATAAAGACCTTCAATAGGCAGATTTACCTCTTGCATAATGTATGTTTAAGGAAGTAGAATATTTTTTACATTTCTGTACATGTATTTGTGTAGTTCAATAGCAATTGCTTAGTGGTAATAATCCTTACCAATATGTATATCTATAGTGCACTCAAATCCATCAATTGAAGACTGAGCAAAGCTTGATTAATATGACTATTAATACAAAAAGATGAAACTTGAACTTACCACGTCTATGTAGCTCTTCCATAGCAGCTTCTAAAGCATGGAGTTTTTCCTTCTCTATTCCCATAGTTTTCTTTATTTCTTCATTTGTTTCTGTTAAACGTTTAACTTCATTCTAAATTAAATTGAAATAAAAGGCTGATGTCATTACCACCATGTGAGAGCTGCTCATACTCACTCTTCTTACAATGTCTCCTATAGGTGCCACCATCCGGATTCCGTACCTTTGGAGACCGCTCTTTCATTGTATTATTCTGCACACAGAGATCCATCTACTTCATACTTGGAGAATAGATCTCTGTCCTAAATGGCTGCCATATCCAACAACATGTACTCTGTTACACATATGTCATACACACAGAGACTAGATAAACTTTTTCAATTTTATTAAATGGAAGCAGATTATATACTTTTTAAAATTCTCAAAGTATACTGAGTGGTTTCGACTAAAATTGTCGATTTAGGACTTAAAATGTCGGTCAACTAGCTTAGCGTCTCTTCTCAAGTGAAGCTAAGAGTAGACAGACAGTCTAAGTTTTGTATGTCATGGTTGCTGGTCCTTACTTGTGGAAGCAGCTCCTCCTGGAGCTTAAATTGATATCTACAAATCGAGACTGAAGACACACCTTTTCCGTGAAGCCTACTATGAAAGACTCCAGTTTGACTAGTGCTTCACCTTTGTGTCATTGATGAATTCTCCCATGCGCGGTTGAGCAGTTTGCTGGAAATGCTGCATTATAAGTATTTTCATGAATGAATGAATGTATATTCCATTAGATAGTTCACACTGCTCTTTGTATATTCATATTCATTTCAAATTATACTTCTTTGCCTTTGTATGCTTGATAATGACTTGTGAAATCTTGTAATAAACCATAGTAATGTTATCAATAAATGATATCTTATTTGTTTATTACCATCATTTTTACATCAGACATGGTACCAGTAATCTTACTTACTGGGTTATATAGCAAATTAAAAGTGGCCTTATCCCTCTCTCACCAAGAAAATAGATGTAAGTTATTTTTTGAATATTTCAATACTCAAAATAGCCTTAGACTCAACTGATCAAAATTTCAAGCACTGACCTACTTAGTGTAATAAATCTTTCATCAGTGTTTCTTAATCTCCTTCAAAACCACAAAAATATTATAAATTCAAAGTTCAAGTGCCCTATTCTATGGCTAGGCAGATTTCTCTCAATTTTTGGATACAATCTAACAAGAACATCCCTAGTTAAATTCTAGCAAATCTCAAATAATATTTTTTTTTACCAATGCGAACCAGCAAAGACCTCTACAGTGCTATTAAAGGCAACTCTGGTCTGGCAGCTATTTGAATAGTAAAGTTTGCCAAGAGAGTGAGAGAGAGAGAGAGAGAGGGAGAGAGGGAGAGAGGGAGAGAGAAATGAGGTTTAATGTCCACTTGACACAAACCAGGTAATTTTGGGACTAACATATGGTTCAATTTTATTTCAATAATTTGCTTGTGCGTAGGGGTCTATAGCAGTGGCACCAAACTGGAGAACCCAGAGAAAACCCATAAGGTTGGACAGGCAACCCTACTCCTTGTCACATACAACTGGGGAATCGAAACCACGCCAGTTGATTCAATGACAGGCCTTATGATACAGCGCACGCGTGCTAACCATTCGCCATCCAACCTCCCAAGTTTGCCAAGTTTAAATAAATGACTTTAGCACAATGTTTATGAGTATATTATGTGTTGTAAGTTTATACCTCTAAACCTATTACAGCTTCGGCCTTGTTGACTAAATTATTTCCCTTTTCTAACAAGTCTCTATATTTTTCCGTTAATTCATGGTACTGACGATTAACTTTATCTAAATCTGATGATGGCACTGAATCATCTAGAGCTTTCTGTAGGGCACCAATCTTGAACGATGCCATGTCCTGAAATTAAATTATAATAATTATTGTCAATAAATAACTGTTAAATGAAATTAAATATAATCTTCCAAAAAAGTAGGGAATCTTGAAATGCAAATACTTAGCATGTTGTGATATGATAAATAGTCATGGACACTTGACATGCTTTGAGAGTATGTTCACAGATGAAGAACTTATCGTCCCAACAGAACCACTGAGCTGCACATGCGACACGCAATAGTGCCATACACTTGGGAGGGGTTCATTGTCAAATTTAACACTTCAAGGAAGGGTTGATGAAAACTTCCGCGTGCTGGTTTATCTATCCATGTTTGCTTTCCTATCGGTTCTTACATAAGATTTACTGTTTAGCGTATCTCTTTGCGAGTGAGATGGGGCTGTCAGATGCCCATATGAACTGTTTATGTTCATGTGTAGGCAACTGGTCTGTTATTAACATACACTGGTTACCTCTAATAAAAACAGCAATGCATTTCGGCAGTTTTGTATTGTTTATGAATATCCCCTACTTTTTTTGAAGAGTATATAATTGTAGTAACACTGAATGCTGATTTTACTTTCCAAATATTCTGAGACTCTATTCAAATTGTAATTCAACTGATCAATTTTGGTCTTTTTGATCTAATTTTAAATTTCTAGAAATTGTGAATCTTTCGAAGGATACATTTACTTTATTTGTCTATATATTGTTTTTTTTTAAATATTAGATGATTTTATTGAACTAACACTATAAGAGAAAAATACTGATCAAATTCCAATACATTTTAATCACCATAGAATAACACATAAATCACCAGATTAAAAAGCTTTTGAAAAACTTTTTGAAAGTAAATATTTGAAGTAGAACTGCTTTAAAAATTGATTCTACAGAATAATGATCATAGAATAATGGTCATACCTTGTATCTCTGTAGATAACCCATTCGTTCAGATATTGCTGTTTCCATTTGTCCCATATCATTATTTAAATTCTGTAGATTCTGTAAAGATATTAAATTTAGGCTTTTATATAAATGCATTTATTCACATTATTATAAGTCCTACAAATTTTCAATTTTTTTAATTTGAATGTGAGAGAGAGAGAAATGAGGTTTAACGTCCACTTGACACAAACTAGGTCATTTTGGGACTAACATATGGTTCAATTTTATTTCAATAATTCGCTTGCACGTAGGGGTCTTTAGCAGTGGGGGGAAACCGGAGGACCTGGAGGAAACCCACGAGGTTGTACAGGTGACCCTACTCCTTGTCACATACAACCAGGGAACTGAAAGCACACCAGTTGACTCAATGACAGACCTTATGATGCAGCACACATGCGCTAACCATTCTGCCATCCAACCCCCTTAACTTGAATGTAGACCTGTTGACTGAGCAAAACAAAATTTGAGAATCAAACATTTTTAGGAGATGACGACGAATCATAAATATTTACATACCATTCGTAATGTATTTTCTATCTCTTCCATTATGGCATGGCGTCTGGTCAAAGCTTTTTCGTTAACTCTAAGTACAGTTATCTTTCTTGTCATTTCTGCGAGTCGTCTTCTAACTTCCACATCATCGTGTCCTAGTGTATCAGTTAATCTCTGAAATTTCATCAGAAATAATTTATTTTCTAAAATACATTTAAATAAGGTCGAAATATACAGATATACATACTTGAAGTAAATTTTCTATTGTGAGTCTCTGAATTTATAAAATAATAGACAGTTTAAAAACTGCATTTTGTATTTTACAAAGACACCGAATGAAAATAAATGCAAATATAGCACAGTTTACAGACTTTACAGACTTAAATAGAAGTGCCTTAAAATTCTCTCAAAATAACATTTTGTTTGATGTTTATATAATTTCTATGTGTCCATGCCAGTTACTAATTCCTTTTCTAGCCAGAAGTCTGAAATAACTTCAACTTACATCAAATTCTTGAATTTTAACCCCATCTTCTTCTCTCAGTCCATGTAATTTCTTTATTTGTTCTTGCAGAGATTTTACTTCTTCCTGCCAAGTCTTATATAGAAATTTTTGTTAAATATTATAAATAGATAGTACAAATATTTCAGGAAACAAAATGGCAATACAGACTTATGGCCATCTAACAACATTATTTTCTAACTGATTGCAATTGTCTGTTGGCATCTGAACATATTTCCATTTGAGAACATCACAGCCAAGATAGTATTTAACCTACGTTAGTCGGTTCAATTATTACATGTGAGCAGCTCCCACAAAACCAGGCTCTTGGTCATCTTTATGAAAATAGAGCTGGCAGCATATTTTAATACTCCACAGCCTATAAGCTTTCCAAAAATGTGATTCTTTTTAAATTTGTCATATCAACTGGAGTTTGGCTCATTTACAGCAACAGGAAGGCATATGGTTTATGCTTTTGTGCCTGTAGTACATAATGAAGTTGTGCAACAAATGCCTAGTTTCGTGTGAGCCGGTCACATTTAAAGAACACTTTTAAGCCCTTATTTATGTTGATAAATTCGTATTCACCTATTTAAGTAGTATTTGGAATTAATCTAAGTAGGAATATATGAATTTAATCACTATTTAGCATACCTTTTTATCTTGAAGATAATCTGAATAAACCAATCCTTGTTGATGTCTTAATACACCAAACTTTCTTTTATAACTCTCTAATGCTGCCTCCATTTTCTTTATATTTGCATCTTTTAGACTCATTTCCTGAAATAAGATTATTAAATCAACTATCAACTTTGGTAAAAGTTTTATATTTTATAGAAAGAAAAATTACTTTTAACACCTATTTAATACATCTGGGTCTGTTTGAAACTAACATGGTAAATTTGGCAGAGAGAGAGAGTTGACACAAATTAGGTCATTTCGGGACTAACAAATGGTTCAATTTTATTTCAATAGTTCGGCCATCCAACCCCCTCTTCAGCAGAGGCAAGATATGAAAGAACCCAGAGAAGCAAACCTACTCCCTGTCAACTTAAATCATGGAATCAGACTCCTGACTTGCATAGATGACAGACTTAAGACTTCCAGTTCCCTGACCATTCAGCATCTCAAACCCACCTATATATTTGTAGATGTAACATGTGATATAAATACTACAAAATTTGCATTTCTTTTGGAATGCATTTGAAATTGTACTTGTATTTCCCAAAACAAGTTCAGCGTAAAATGTCATTTCTGATCAATTTCCCCAGAAACATCTATATAAAAAATTAACTGACCTGTAGTGTAATAACTAGATGTTCATTAAGACTAGATATAATTTCTGTACTAGTTATAGTCATGCCTTCAGGTAAAGGTAAAGCCTGGAATACACCTGGTGCCACACCTGATTCTTGTAGAGCTAAATTATCTTTCTCCATCTGTTTTATCTGAATAATGATTTATATATCTATATGAATAATGATTTATATAATTTATCTAAATAATGATTTATATAATTCATCTGAAAAAATGATTCATATAATTCATCTGAATAATGATTTATATAGTTTATCTGGAAATTGATTTATAGAATTTATCTGAATAATGATTCAAATAATTCATCCGAATAATGATTAATATAATTTATCTGAATAATGATTTATAGAATTTATCTGTATTCAGTATATCTTATATTACATAATTTTTTTTAGATTTTTCAAACAGAATTCTAACTATTATACATGTAGCTTTACATATATTTTTTTCGATGCACCCATCTATGTACTCTATTAATTAGTGGTCTGATTTAACAAAGTGATGTTAGTATATACAGACATTCAAATAACATTTATCTCATTATTAAGAATGGTCTGCTAAGTTGGTGAAGAAGACAATCGAAAAGCAGAAGATGACAAAACGTCCACTCGACACAAACTAGGTCATTTTGTGACTAACATATGATTCAATTTTATTTCAATAATTCGATTTCAATAACTTGCTTGCACGTAGGGGTCTTTAGCAGTGGGAGGAAACCAGAGGACCCGGAGAAAACCCATGAGGTTGGACAGGCGACCCTATTCCTTGTCACATATAACCGGTGATTTGAAACCACGCCAGCTGACTCAATGACAGACCTTATGATACAACGCGCACATGCTAACCATTCGGCCATCCAACCCGCCCCTTGACAAAAAGGACACATGATGATCTTTTTTGAAACAAAACAAGACTTTTGTATTGACTTTGCAGACGACCAGACAATCTTTTTGTAGAAAACCTAAAGAAAATACTTATACAAACCTTGTCAAAAGCCTTGTCTCTTTCTAAAGCATTCTTTGTAGTTTCTACGCGACTTTCTCTTAATTCATTCCTTAGTTCTTCATTTCTACCACGCATGATGTCAAACTGTTCTTTCATATAACCTGATGTATCATGTCCACCAATAACTCTCTTAGCTTCTAATGCCTATAGAATAATAATCAACTAAACTATTATACTGGGCATTCATCTTTATACTTGATAACATTAACAAATCATTCAAATTTATATATATTCACGAATGCAATGATATGGAAATATCATATATCATACAATGGTCTATCTAGAATTAAAACTCAAGTTTCATATTCAACATATATAGAAAGAGTATTAAAATACTTCCCAAATAATTAATATATATTTCGAGTTAATCTCAAAGTCTTTGAATTATAATCGTTTATAACTGAATCTATATAATATGAATGAAAGTATGACTTACAGCTAACATTCTATCTACAGTTGGTAATTCTATAGCTGATCCTTGTATTTTACCATCTAAAATAATACAAAGGTCATTCATTCAATTATAGCCGAAAACATTTTCATTCATTACATATATAATCATCATGATACTTCATCATTGGTAACTTATTTTCCTGTATAGTCTTTGATTTGATAAAAGTCTGACACACACTGGACCATGTTTCATCACAACATGTGATTTTTTCAGAGGATTCCCGTCTAAAGTTTTATCTTCTCTGGAAATTTTTTATCTTATTATAAGTAAAATCTCTTCTGTATTGTTTGCTCTGCTGTGCTGCTATGCACAGTTATCCTGCATTATTTATTTATATAAAAAAAAAATTTGATCAAAACACACAAAGAGCTAACCTGTAACTTTCTCCTTTAATACCAAAAGCACTTCTTTAACACTGTCTTTTAGATATTGATTTTCTTCATTAAGTTGATTAGTACGAGCTTTTAATTCTGCATTCTGTTCATGAACATGATCTAAATCTTGTAAATTTCTCTGGTAATCATTCTTTAACTCATGACTCTACAAAACAGGTCAAATAAAATTATGAAGTACATATGTAATGGGGTTTAATGTCCTACTGTTCTTTAACTCATGACTCTACAAAATAGTAGAAATAAAATTATGAAGTATATATGTATGAAATGAAACAACATGGGGTTTAATGTCCTACTGTTCTGTACCGACTGGGCTATTGAAGACAGCTAGACAGGCATATTTCGAATTTCAACTATCAAGGGTTCTTTTACATGGACACCAATATGTACAAAAGCTTTGTTTTTATGTCCCATCCGAATGACTATACATTGTCCATTGCCAGGCCCCTCTGTCCTACACCAATGAGAAAACATATGCGTGTAGTATATCAGTAGACTGTGTGTTAATGTTCAGTCTATGATAAGTGGAAAGACAGTATTGTATAAAGTCTCTTCCTAGTGTCGTTTTTAGTTCTAAACTGTATAGGGAGAGAGAGAATAAAGTTTAATGGAGGAAACTAGAGGACACAGAGAAAACCCTTGAGGTTAGTCAGGCGACCCTACTCCTGGTCATGTACAAGCTTGGGATAGAAATCACACCATGTGACTCAATGACAGATGTTACGATCTAAAGTGCACACATTAGACCACTCGACCCTCCCCCATAACTGCATAGGGATTTTAAAGTTTGAAACCATCTTATTGTATCTTATGTTAGCTGATTCCATCAGCATAATTACTGACAAATGTAATATCAATCTTCATGAGTATCCAATTCCCAACAAAGAAAGAAATGAAGTTTAATGGCATATCAACACCAACTGGGCTATAATAACATCAAATGCAATCACATTCTTACTCAGACATTCTTTGATATCTGTATGAATCTACTCACTCGAATAACTTTTTCTTCTTTAGCTACTTCACGTCTGATTATTGTAGCAACTGATTCTGTTTTAGTCTGGTTTTTATATTTGAGATCTTCTGTAAAATCTTGTACGGCCATCATATCTTCTGCTGTTAACCCTAGAGCTACTGCCCTGTATAAAACATAATCCAATATAATCCTTTAGTGGCATTTAGCAATTGGAAACATAACAAAACTATACAGTTATATGGGACAACAATCACTGGTCTATTATACACAGGCACGACGTTTCGATAAGTATTCTCTTATCGTTATCAAGCACAATAACATTTAGTAAACTTGAGGGTCTATATATATGTACAATGCGAAACCATTCTTATTACTAATCATTAGAAGAGTTCAACCAATTAACAGACATATTTAACATCAAAGACCTGTATAAAACAATATTATATATTAAACAAACCTTTTAACTGAAAATCTCTACTTAAATTTAAGTAGATAGAGATGGGCGATTCGTCCAGTTATCCCAATTTGTAGAGAGACACCCCGGTCGCAACTCACTTCCACTTACCGAGACACTCCAGTCGAAATCTTGACTATCAAATAATCAAACAACTTGGTACAAACCCTGACCTTACAAAATCTACTACCAACAGAAGCACCATTAAACTTCATTGCATCATACTATTAAAAACCTTTCAACCTTATGGTATCAACGACAAAATCTGAACTTGGGTTGGGCATCCCTCCATTTATTTTCTTTGTTTTACTTAATTTAGGTTCAATATCAGAAGGAAGGAAATAAATAAATACTGTTTTACTTCTTGACAATATGCTATATTGGTAATTACAAGACTAACAAATTTAGACAATATTATTTGCTAAGAATATTTGTACAGATCTTATTTTGCCAAGGCAGCATCTAAATTTCCACTGCCTAGCCTAGGGATCATTTACCAGTGACACAAAAGCTTTCCAAAGTAACTGTTTATTTCTGGATGGTACACAGATAGTCCAACCAAACATATTATCATTACTGCTTCATAATTTTAATTAGGGACTTTTACGAAAGTAACTAACCTTTGACCCGTCTGCTGTGCTAATTTTCTGATTTTTTTCTTCAAGTCAATTCTTTCTTCTTCTAATCTCTCAATCTACAATAAAGACAAAATATTTACAAGATAATAATACATGCCTACAAGTTCATAAGAATCTGATAATATCACCTTGATGGGGTCTCATGCAAACCTAAACCATTCGGATCATGAAAAAAAATTTGCAAAATATGTACTAAAATTGGATAAATATAATACACTAAATATAATACACTGACCATTTAAATTCAGTAAATAAACTTCTGCTGTTTGAATAACAGAATTATTCTCAAATTTAAATAATACCATTTTGAATTTTAACCTTAAAAAGGCTTTTTATGAAAAAAAAATGGTGACACTTTCTGATATCAAACAACACTATCAATAATAAAATACAAACACACCTCCCTTTGCAGAATAAAATTAAGCGCCTTTTCCTCTTCTTTCCTTGTGGCTTTGTTTTTACGGAACTCTGTAAGATCTATGGGTTCTTTTGGATCCATACCAAGTTTATATCTTAACTCTTCATTTTCATCTAGAATATCATTTATCCTTAACTCGGCTTGATTCACATGTTTCGTTAATTCTTCTATTTGTCTGTAAATAATGATAATATAAACATGGTTGACTTAGTTTTAAAATATGAACCTTTAAATAATGATTTTAGTTGTATTAGACAGATTACTCAGAAACTATTACAGTTAAAGCTGACATTTAACATTCCGCTGAACATGTACCGAACATATCAATGGCAGCACACAACAGAAAAGTCTGTAAAAGACAAAATGATCAGCACTAGAGAAATTACACCTGACAAAACCTGATATTGAGCCTGATATTGTCAGTTACAGGTGGTGTATTGCCAGAGCTGTTTCTTTTATCAATTAATAAAGTTTATTCCATATGAATCGGCATCATAACATTCTCTCTGAATACATGTGGAATTTTATGATGGAGATTGAAAAAACAACAAGTTTCCATGATATTAAAAATTGTTGTTAGTAACGTACCTATCTCTGACTTTAACTTGTGTCTTTCCTTCTTTTATTTCTGCTACAGCTTCTTGTAAACCATATTCTCCCTGTTATAATAATTAATCAAACTATATTAAAACCATTTCTAATATAAGCCTAGTCAATATATCATGTCAAACTGTTTCGTTTTTCATTAGATATCAAACAATGAAATTGGGCTTCATTAGCATCTAATCTACACTTTGATAAGGTTATTTTAAGATTAATATTTATATTTGTGTGTGTGTGATGGGGGAGGGGAAGATTATTGCCCAATAAACAGACCAGGAATCTTATATGTATACTTTCAGTTTGTACACAGGACCTCAACTTTTCATTCCATCCAGCTACATACACTTTCCTTGTCAGCACTGAAGCCACCCACCCTGCTTCCTCCCAATCAGTAAGAACTGGGCTTCTTGGTACCCAGAAGGATTCAAACCATGGACATATTTTGGTTCCTGAGACTAGGCTTTAGAATCTGTTCACCACTCGGATTAGCCTTATAGGACATGTGAGTACCATGATTTTTTAGTTTAATTTTTATCTTAAATCTTTCAAAAATATATTTTACTTGTGTATAATGAAGTAAAGCAAGGCATTTAATAACACAATGGCATGACACTTACTGCTTCATATTGTCTCATTCTTTCTAAAACTTCAGATAATTCTTGATCTTTAATTCTAGCATCTTCTTCAGCTTTCTTGGCATCATTTTCTCTATTTTTCATCGTTTCTCTGTTCTCTTTAACCTCATTCTGTAATTCCCGTACTTTAGTTACATATCTATCACCTGTACCTTTACCACCTGATATTAACATAAAATAATAAAATGACACTTAAGAAAACAGATCTGATTTTACTTTTCATCAGTATTGAGATTTCAAAATTTTACTTGTTGGACATTTTTACCAAAAATAAGGGGCATGACTTTTATCATTATTAAGCAAGAAGTTTTAGATCACAATTAGAAATCACGTGTCAACAAAATATTCAAATTCGTACATAATAAAAAAAAAATAGGTGCGCCTCGTTATTTTTCATATTTAATTCCTGTACGGTATTCAAATTTATATCAGTAATATTTCTACAAAATTACGTGGTGTCATAATATGATAGAATATTCCTGGTCGGCCAATTAGGACGTTTGGAAAAAAGCGTCGGACATGTCCGGAACATACAACTAAATGACGTGAACTATATATCCAACTTTTATTTTGTTCTTGGCTACTTTACTAATGTCTCCCATATTTTAGTGCACACTTTGCGTAAAGAATAACTAAACGGACCATTTCATTGGCCAATCTCTTATATCAAACAGAGCATGGTTTAAAAATTTAAAGATCCTTTCAGATCCTTCTGTCAAGAAGACTGATAAAACAAATTTTGAACTATAAAAACAAACGAAATAGGATGTGTGTTTTAATCAGATTGTGACAAATCTAATTTCATTATTATATAACGTACACTGAAATTCATTCAAAATTTGTGACTAAATCCTCTTCATCTAATTTTCAGACAATGCATAAATATATAAAAGAATTCTAACCTCTATTGAGTTCATTGCGTAGATCTTCAATAATAGCAGCATTGGCTTCCATATCTGATACATATTGACTAATCTTCTCCGTTAATTCTTCTATTTGTTTATCTTTGTCTTTAGTAGCCTTTTTTACAAATAAACAAAAACGTTTAATAAACAATCAATAAGGGAACATATTTTTAAAATATTACACTTTTTTTATAAACATAAACCATTATAGAGAGAGAGGAAGAAATGGAGTTTAACAGCCACTTGACACAAACTAGGTCACTTCAGGACTACCATATGGTTCAATTTTATTTCAATAATTTGCTGTGTGAGGAAACTGGAGGACCCTGAGAAAACTCACAAGGATGGACAAGCAACTCTACTCCTTGTCACATACAAGAGGGAAATCGAAACCAAGCCACTTGACTCAATGATAAACCTTGTAATCTAACGCGCATGCATTAAACCATTCGGCCACCCAACCCCCGCTAAACCATTACAAATCATTCTGTATAGATAACTTATTCTATAGAGAATATTTCACCTTCAAGGATATTGTATTGGAATCAATCTGATTAAAACAAAGATCCAATTTCGTTTCGTTTTTATAGTTCAAAATTTCGATTTTACTTGTCTTTACTACACTTGGATCTGGAAGCGTTGTTATTTAACTCGTGTTCTGCTTGAAATGAGGGGTCAGCCAATCAAATGGTCTGTCGAATCGAGCGTTTGACCTTTTATGCGCGGAACTGTGGGTAGACATTAGCGGCAATAGAAATCAAAACAAAGCAAAAGTAGATAAAAAATACATGGCGGTCGCTAATTGGTTACTCGAATGACTGACGTAATCAGGTCAAATGTCGCTTGCTTGGTACCTGACTTCATAGAACGTAAACTCCCACTATAACTGGTTAGATCTACATGTGGTGTAGGCCATCGAAAGTATAAAAAACGAAACGAAATATAGATCTATATTTTAATTAGATTGTATTGGAATATTTCTATGCAAGATTTGATATGGATAGCATTGGATATTTCCAGAAATCTCTTATCCCTTTGTTTAAATATGAACATACTAACCTGTGAAAGAGCAGCAACAGAAGCTTTATCTGTATCCATGTTAGCAGCTATAAGTTGTTCTCTCAGTTTAAATACCTGTTCTCTTAATTCACTGATCTGTTGATCTTTATCAGACATCAAAATCTGGAATAATCAAACAACAATATTAATCTTTTACAGAAATTATAAACAAGTTTAAAATGTGTATTTAAAATCTAAATTAGCATTTGTATTTGGAATGTTCAAGACAGAGAGAGAGAGAGAAATGGGGTTGAACATCCACTCTACCCAAACTAGGTCATTTCGGGACTAACACATGATTCAATTTTATTTCAATAATTCACTTGCGCGTAGGTGTCTTTAGCAGTGGGAGGAAATTTTAGGATGCGGAGAAAACCCACAAGGTTAGACAGGTGACCTTACTCCTTGTCACGTAAAACCGGGGAATCGAAACCACGCCAGTTGACTCCATGACAGGAGAAAGTTCAAGATCTTATACACTTTAACAGTGCCATGGTCATAAATGTAGTCATACTTTATCAAAATCTGTTAAAGTCAATAAATACAATATCTGATTGTTTTCAAAAGGAGAGATCATGATGATATTACAAACCTTCCATTCTTCTATCTTGTTATTAACAGCCACCATAATAGCATCATCTGATTCTGTCTTAGATTGTACTTCTTCTGTCAGATCTTCAACCTATAACATTATGTTCTAAATCTAAACTTGAAGAATGCCTTGCCAAAGTTTTACATCCCAGTGAAACATACAATTTAAACCAATATAGAGCTTCCCATCACCAGTTAAAATAGCACATCGATCTAGCAACCCAATTCAATACTTTCTTTAGACCAAAATCGACGATATTTATCTCCTTTAAATAGAGTGTCATTAATCGTGAAAAAGTCCAAACATTTATTAAATTTATTTGAAGTACTGGTATTCCACTTATTGATATGAGTAGTTCACTATACCTGTGCTTTAAGTATTTCATTATCTTGTCGAAGTTTATCAGTTACATCATCACTCTGTTGAAGTACCATCTGAAATAACATGCAAAACATCATAATAAGTTTCAATTCATATAACAAATTTCATAACTATCTTCAAAATTGACATCTCTCAGGTTAAATCCTCCTTCAGGAAACAAAGTTCAATGATATTGCTTATAATGCATAAATTATTAAAGGGGCATTAGGTATGATTAGATAAAGAGCTGACAGTTCCTGCTATATTAGTTACAAAATAGATAATGTAAACAGAATATGCTGAAAATTTCAGTCAAATTGCTTCACTATAAACCGAGATATTAACGATTCAATTTTAGGCTAGCCTTGATTGTCATTACTACCATTTGTACGATAATAAACAAAGTCTTGATTATCCATTATTTTTACAATCAATCATCCATCACAAACCGTATTCAAATCCACTAAATATTGTAGGCTAACGATGACATCGATAGTTGATTATGGTCTGGATGAGTTAATTAATTTCTTATTAATAATTTAGATAACATTTCAGGCCCTTAGAAAGACCTGCAATAGGCACCCTTAGCTCTTGCATAATGCATGATTAATTAAGTGATGCACTACGGCCTACTCTTATATCGAACCCCCCTGATGATTAATTAAACTAATAAACCTACCTTGATTTTTTGATAATCTTCCGCTGCTTTAAACATCTGATCATTAGCTTCACTCAGATTAGTTTCTAGTTCTTCACAACGTTTCTGAAGCAACTCATTGTTGTCTGTTAAATTCTACAATAAAGATCACAAATCTTCAAAACAATTATCTATACTAATATTTCTTTTGCTGTCTGGCCTGGAAATAACAGTTTTAGTTGTACTTAAGAAAATAATAGAGACTATGGGGGTACTCGATTAAATGTTCCGGAATTGAATTCTCTCAATCCCAAAAATAGTGACAATTGAGTGAAAAGGTGGATTTCGGGCTACAACGTATGAGTCGAATGAATAAGTAAATATCTCAACCAACCATGCAGCCGAAACATATTCGTTGTGTTTAATTACGTCACGATTCTAATCACTGTGAATTGATCATCCCCTATTAAAGTTCTACCTGACAAAATGAGATGAACCAAAGGAAATGTGCCTAGCAAAGCTTAAATTTCTACCTGACTTTATCTGTGACAGATGTTATATTTCTTTATGACGTCACAGAGGAGGTCAATGGTATAAGTTCCATTCTTGAAAAGTATACCCAAGGAAAATAGAAAATAAGCACTGATATCAGTATTTTCAGGTTCTGACTTAAAATTAAAATGACTGATTCCCAAACCTGTAATTCTTCCATAGCTTCAGCTAACTCTCTGTTTTTCTTGGACATTTTATCTCGGACATCTTGATCATCACCACGTCTTGCTACCAGATTTTCTCGCTGCGCTTGAAGCTGCATCATGTAGTCACTAATATCCTGTCTGTACTGATCATTCTGTGAAACAAAAACACTAACAACGTTATACACAAAATCCCTGTATAGTCTTCGTGGAGAAATTGACAGACATGTGACTGATACAACATAATTAGCTTTTAAGGTGGATATAAATATACAAATTAGATATTGATATATAGCACACAGAATAGAGACAAAAACTTTATTGACATAAATAATCCACTGATAATGTCATTAACTTCATTTATTGAATATAAAGGTATATTTCTTTAATCTGACAATATAGTATGATTTCTTTAATGTGACAATATTTGTGTTTTAGGACATTGAATTTGGGCCCCGGACTAATGTGGGCCCTTGCCAAATGTGGGCCATGAACTAATATGGGTCCTTGCCAAATGTGGGCCCTGGCCAAATCTGGTTTGGGCCCAAACCGGGCATTCTGCTAGTGTGACAATATAGTACAATTTCTTTAATGTGACAATATAGTATGATATCTTCATAACAGTATTCACTTACATCTTTTCTTAATCGACCAAGTTCTTCCTCTAATTCATTGATCTTCTCACTATACTGTAAAAATAAACAACAATCTTTAAATTCAAAAATCAATTATACCAAAACAAAAAGCTAATGACACTTTTGAAATGTTTTTTTCTACAAATTATGATCAGGTTCTGGTATGATAGCTATAAGTTGTAATTGGTGTTGTGCATGCGAAAAAATGTGTGAGAGTGAGAGAGAGAAAGAGAGAGAAATGGGGTTTAACAGTCACTTGACACAAACTAGGTCCTTTCGGGACTAACATATGGTTTAATTTTATTTCATTAATTCGCTTATGCGTAGGGTTCTTTAGCAGTGGGAGGAAACTGGAGTACGCAGAGAAAACCCATGAGGTTGGACAGACGACCCTAGACCCTACTCCTTGTCATGTACAAGCAGGGAATCGAAGCCATGGCACTTGACTCAATGACAGACCTAATGATACAACGTGCACACGTTAACCATTCGGCCACCCAACCCCCTCTGAGAGTTGGAAATTGAAATAAGAATAGACTGTAGTGCTGCCCTGAGCGCAGACTTTCCCTAATAGTACATTGCTTGCACAGAGTATGCCTGCCTTCTTTAGCATTTAGCACGATTGGTGCAAAAAATCAAGAGGTTGAACTCATTTCATTACTTTATCTTATCAATGTGATAATAAAGGAATACCTTTTCAGCAGCTCTCTTTTCGTTACTGAGATCTCGTTGTAAATCTCTATTATCAGCTTGAAGCTGTTGAATTTGATCATCATAATCACGAATTTGATCTCGTAGATATCTGGCATCTCTTGACGTAGCTCCACCACTTCCTTTATCTGCAGGACCATATGTCTAAAATATAGACACAACAGAAATATTCTTTATTTACATCAACTGCTACACTACAAACCCCCGAGGTTGGACAGACGACCCTACTCCTTGTCACGTACAACTGGGCAATTGAAACCAAGGTTCAATTAGTGTTGTTACAACTAACTAGAATAATATGCCAAGGCCTCCAATCATGAGTACATTCAAGATTGATCAGGGTATTGATCTTGCACTCATCATGGCAATTATTCAAATTAATAAATAAATTTTTCACATAAATATAAAAGAATAATTCTACTGTGTCTGTCACTTTCAAATCACATTGTATCCGAAACATTCGAAAAAATCATGGACATACCTTTACTTCTTCTAACTCTTTGTTTAATTTAGTTATTTTTGATTTTAGTTCTTTTTCTAGAAAAAAAAAAAACCCAACAAATTATTAATTTTTATTACAAGCTTAAAACAAAATGTCAGATATAATTATAGTCAAAAAATGTAAAAATGAACACTAAAAACAATCATAACCCATACATATGTTTAGGTTAATAAATGATTTTCAAAAGTTAATAACAATTCAATGTATTTGGACAATTTTTTTTTTTAGACATGTGGGATACTTTATCTAATACCTTTCTTTTCTGATTGTTCAGCTTCTTTTTCAGCTTCTGCCATTGCCTCTTCTGAGTCCTCATGTTTAGAGATCATAATTTCTCTTGTTACTTTAAATAGCTTTTTAAGTTTATCTGGATCATTTTCACTGCTAGGATCACCCTATATAGAAATGATTGAAAAGACAAAATTCTAGTAAAAATTGGGCTCAATCTAATCTCAGACAACATGGATTGCAGTATAAACATAATATTTTATAATATTTTTGTTAAAGTTAATCAAAACAATGTATTTTGTTTGTAATAGTTTTAATACTGTACTCTTTCTATGATTTCGTGTTTTAATAACACCATTTAAGTTTACTGATCAGAACATTTTTTGGGGTGAATCGTTACAGTTATCAGTCTAACTTTATTAAATGTCTTACTTCCTTCAGAACATCAAATAAATTGTCAACATCATCTGGTTTCAGATCAGCCAGATTAACTGACATGATCTGATCCCACGCCAAAGGAGGCATGTTGAAATTTTTTTCTTCTCCACTTGCTACAATCTGAAATAAGAGCATGCAATTCTATCTATAGTAAGACTGTTGCATAACAGCCCTGTTTGGTTAAAGATACATTATGAGAGATTTGATAAAGAGCTGGCAGTTCTCACTATAATAATTAAAAACTAGATAATGTAAAGGGAATTTGCTGAAAATTTCAGTCAAATTGATCCACTCTGAATCAAGAATTTAGTGATTGAATTTTTGGTCCTAGCCTCGATCATCATTACTAAAGTCGGTACGATAAAAACATAGTTTCGATTATCCATTTCTTGATTTAATCATGAATGAGCGTTGGGCAGCAAATCAGATCCTAATCCAGTAAATATCGCAGGCTAGCGATGACATCGAGAGTTGATTATGGTCTGGATAAGTTAATTAATGTCTAAATAATAATTTAGATAACATTTCAGGCCTGCAATAGGCAAAATTAGCTCTTGTATAATGTATGTTTAATTGAATTATAATAACAGTTCCATGTGAGACGTCAAGTCCTAAATCATTATACATGTATGATAATGGATCAGGAACCTATGTTAGACAGGTTACTGAAATTGAATACCAATTTTGATTTGAAGCAAAGTCATATTTCTAACTATGATCATCTGATTTACAATTTCATGACCATTCAATCAGATGTTAATAGTAATCCCGTAGTAATTTTCCTGCAGAAAGAACTCAAATAAGAAAAATATTATAAGTTGTTTGTTATGAAATGAGAGCCTTTCGTTATTACTTTTATTCAAATAGTGATTATAAAAATTTTGAAAGATTAAATTAACAACATTTTTATTGATATAAAAAGGAAATGTATCACTTTCAAAAATACAGGAAAAGGTGATGGACAAAATCACAAGAACCAGAACGAGGGATTGTGTCTCACAAAGTCTGAATTTGTACCTGACAATGCCAGTGACAGAGAGAGATAGAGAGAGAAAGATAGAAAGAGAAATGGGGATTAACGTCCACTCGACACAAACCAGGTCATTTCGGGACTAAAATATGGTACAAATGTAATTTCATAATTCAGGTCTTTAGCAGGAGGAGACTGGAGGACCTGGAGAAAGCCCATGAGGTTGGACAGGCAACCCTACTCCTTGTCACGTACAACCAGGGACTCGAAAACATGCCAGTTGGCTCAATGTGCTAACCATTCAGCCATCCAATCCACCCGTCTGTGACGGATGCCTTACTTCCATGTACTGGTAGCTAAAACATTGGTATGTTGATATGCATGTTTTACCTACAAATAGGCTTTTATTAGTTTTATCTTGCAAAATTATGATTTAATATGCCAAAGCTTCTCGAATGCAAGTGGTTTTCAACCAATCAACATGTCAATTAGATTAAATGTGAGAGAAATCGTCAATTGAAATTGGTCATGCTTGAAATTTGTAACCCATGCTGCAAATCAGAACTTTAAAGCATGGTAAGATTTAGTAATGTAGCTTTTCATTATGTGCTTTCGTGAATCACGATAGCTTATAAGTAAGGTTGAAAGATATTGGGGAAAATTGCTACCGGTAGTGGAAATGGACGACGAGTTGTGATAAGTAGCATCATTGTTTCTGAACAGCTGGTGTAAAAACATGGACTTTTTTTTTTATTATGGCCTACAGTTACAGACATACCATAATGGACTTTTTGTTTAATTGGCCATGTCATGTGGCATGTCCATAGACTAAAATGCATTGGACATGGAGGTCACTGAAAGTACTAATTCATGAATTTATCATTTCCAATATAAGTAGATTCTATTAATACTAGCCTAGTACTAGTACTAGTAATGTAGTAATGTACCGTAAGTAAACATGTTTGTGCATGACAACAAACTTCGTAGTCGCAGAATATAAATTCTATCTGTCGTCTATGGATCGTTTTTGTATAAAATGTGCACTTTTTAAAATACTCATGGATATTCCCCTGTTGAGAATTGCATTTCTAAATTTTAAGTTTATGCCTACTTATTATACCTTATTCAATGCCTGCTACTTATTTGTTTACTTCGGAATGTCCGCCATTTTCAAACAATTATAGTCTAGTATATCAAGACGCAACACGAAAGCAGTGTAAAATGTGTGGGTGGATTTATGACTGAAAGGTCTGACCCAGGGAAGCACGACATTTCGATCAGGCGACCTTAATTCGGACTGAGTTTAACTGCGGTTCGGACATACTTGTCGACTTTTCGGACTCGGTCTGACGACGTTTCGGACTCGGATGAATAAATAAAAGACTGTTGAAACTTTGTACGTGTATATTAGTAATAGCTGCAATGTTGTGTTTTTCTTTTTGTGTAAGGTTGATGACAATTTTAAAGAAATATAACATTGTTCGTTGTCTTTAAAATATTTTGTTTAATTGATTGGCGATTGCTGAGACCGCTAAAAAAAAGATTATATAAACCCCTAGTTGTCTTTTGTTTAATCTGCGCCTATTGAACTTGACAATAAAATATTATTGTTGAAAATTTGTGTTTATTTCGTAATACTTCGTTGATTTTCTTTTATAAAATAGTAAACGAGCATGATTGGCCGATCACTGCTAATGTTTTTATAATTGTCAAAGAAAACCTAAATGCCGTTTGCATTAAACAGAATAATTGCAATCTACCTACATACGACCGCCATCATAAGTTCCTAATGGTTTCTGATCGGACCAGTATCGATGATTGACAACTCGCGTTTTTTTCTTTCCCACCAAAGAACCGTGAGGTTTATTTGCACATACTGCAATAACATCGGGATTTTCGGTTAATATAGGCGTACGGGTTCGGTGAATGTTGGGGGGGGGGGGGCAGAGCCTGAAATGCCCGAAAACATTTCGGGTTACAAACGGCGGTGCGGCTTGTCTATAGGCGAAGGAGCGGAGCTTACCGTGTAAGACCCCCACCCCCGTCATGAAAATTTTACGGCCGCAAACGGGTTTTCCTGGCGTGAATCCTGATAGTGGGAACATAGTATTAAGACGGTTGTATTAACATCTGTTTCTATCGTAACCTCACTGGTTTGCACGATGAAATGAATAGTCATAGACCTTTTATGTTCCTTATCCGTCACATGTGTAAAAGTAAAATAGATATTTGAGTAACTTCCTTGGTGAATAAAGTATACCAATAATAATATATAATATACAAAAGACGGTGTTTGAAATTGTATACGTTAACATCAACGATAAATATATATGGTTGGTGTAACGCGTTTTCCGCTATTCCAGCCTGTGAAGAAAGCCTAAATTGGGTGCCTTATATTTCGGAATCCCAAACAACCAATTAATCGTCGCGGGGTATGAGGGGCCTCGCGTTCCCAGAGAAAATTTTGAAAATGCGTGTTTCTGCTATTGTAGCCCGGGAATTAAGCAACTTCAAAGTACCCAAAACACATAACCTTGAATTACAACTGTGTCATCACAATGTTTCGGGCAAACCATTTTATTTATTTATTTATTTTTTTTACTTCTTCAGGGTCTTGATAAATAGAAATCCACTCGAGTCCCATGAAAACTGTTTTATTTAAAATTTCAAAACTTGAACATGCGGAACTATAGACTTTTAATTGAAAAGATCAACCAACTATTTTTGCCTCTTTGGTTTTATTATTTTGTCCCCCCAAAATATATTACACAACGTTATTAACAGATGTGCCTGTGGAACAACAGTTGTCATAATTATCAATGCTTTGACACTGTAGAACAAAAGTTGTCATAATTATCAACGCTTTGACACTTACTCAAATCACTCTAATTAAAATTTAATTACTTTTTCCTTTGATGTGCTTCATCAACAATAGCCGGTAGCACGAATTATCCAAATCCACCCAAATCTACTATTCTCAACTCATGTCATAACAATTCATCAAAAACATATTGGTCCGAGCAGCATACTCTCCGTGGATAGAACTATTTAGAGACTTAGTGACTACGACTACTTCCGCACACGCATGCGCCGCTTGCCACACATGTCGAAATCCGTGTGAAATTTAGTTTTATTTTAGAAGTGCGATCTAAAGTTCTTCTGTTTATTGATCACGAGATTGTTGATTTAGATTATCTGACTATATTGTTTCGTATAAAGTAATCTAGTTTCTAATTATATTATAAAATGCCTAAGAATAAGGGTAAGTAGCCATAGCTTTTTGTTATTATCCGACATCCGTATGTCATGATTTCAGTCATTCATTCAAATCAATCATTGGCGTTACAAATTTTATATTCCAATTTCCTTCTTTATTTGTATGATAATTATTTTGTCTGTATTAGAAGTCGAATCAAGAAAATTTGACAGGGTGTGATTACGTAGACTGTACTACAATAATGCCCGTAATTCTTGTAATATACATAACATTTACCCTCCATTATGACATGTGAAGTCTTTGCCGAAGAGTGGCGAAGTTACAATATTGTGAAAGTTGAATCTCTGTAAGATGCCTTCCCGTGTATAAACTGGGTGATTTGATGTTATATTTAGACTAAAAACATATTTAAGATAACTAATCTATCAAAAATTTGCTTCAAATCCCCCCGTCTTCATTAGCCCAGGTTAGAAGCAGAACAGTAGGACGTTAAACCCCATTTCATTTCATTTCATTTGCTTCAAATCCCTCTCAAAACATTGTATTCTCGAGGAAATACCCAAGCCCAATCTATTTTTAGAATCCATGTTTGTCACCTACATGTAACTTGATAGAGGAAGTATCCATTTTAAGAATGTATTTTACGTTACTTACTGGCCATTACCATACATATTGAAGCCTAAGTAAATTCTTTGATGATCTTCTGCCAACATCGAACAATTCAGATTAGTATTGTTTGGATGAAATTTCATTGCCTGACCTAAAACTTTAAAAGAAATCATCAGTATAGAATTTGATAAATATTTTAAATCATAAAATTCTTTATCACAGTACTTTAATATCTGGCATCTTTATTTTTATGTAGGAAAGGGAGGAAAGAATAGGAGAAGAGGAAAGAATGAAAATGAAAAAGAAAAGCGAGAATTGGTATTTAAAGAGGATGGACAAGGTATTCATTAATCTTTTAATGCAGCTATTGCAATCGTCTGTGTACCTGCCCTGTCTATATCATGATTATGTATCTGAACATGAATTTAATATGTACATATTTTATGGAAATGAATTTATTAATACATGTAAATACAACATAAGGATACAACAAGGATATTCCTTGGGCCTTGGGCTCACTTGACAGAGTTGTATGACATATGAAGTGTTTGGCATGATGGAACAAGGTTGATCCATGGATTTCAGCTCATTCATATATGCTCGTCTGGTATGATTGTTTTAAAAATTGAAAAAAATGGCTTGGGACCCATTGGGGAACTTACATTCATTAAGCCTAACATATTTTAGCCGATCCAATTTTCAGACATGATTGTTATCAAGCCTGGACATGTAAGCAGCTGGTTACAGATGTCGGGCTGTGGGTTCCATGTCGGCCGTGTGTACAGGTTTTGGATAATTATAGTTACAGCTATGTGGCGGAGGTCAGTAATGGTTATGTCTGGACCTAAGGCACCTGGCACAAACATTGTCAAGTACAAATTAGTGCACAACTTTAATATTATAATATACGTTGTGTGATAATTTGTGTCTGACAGTCAGACATAAATTGTCACACAACGTATATATTATAATAATATGTCGAGACATCGTATATATTATAATAATATGTCAAGACATGACCATTATTGATCTCCACCACATACATGCATCCGTAATTATAATTATCCACAACCTCTACAGATTGGTACACACCTACAGATACCAGTCCTTCATGTTTAAGGTGCGCATTCGCTCTTGCTCCTCTCAACACACATCGACTTTCCTCCGAGCAAGTCATTAAAGACTCCTACATATTAGCTAAATCGCTCTCCTAAATTGTGAGATCAATAAACTACTTTCAGTTTTTCTTTTATTTTTAAACTGCATACATTCGAGCTATCAGTTTCCATGATGATAATTCTGATGCTACCATATTCACCAAATATAAAACACAACTAAAACATAAATACAATTTGGCTCTCCTTAATTCAGGAAAATGTGGAATTACTCTTGCAATATAATTAAGAAAAGTTTTGTTTTACGGGAGCTTTTTTCTCCTAGTTGAAATTGTCTAGAGCTTTTTGTGGCTCCAGCACAATTTTATGAACATGAAGGACTGAGGTACCATGTAAGCTCATGATTAACAATGTGGTAAAAACACATACTATAAATTGTAGACATGATATACAAAATTGATTCCCAGAGTTTCCAGGTATTATCAAAATGGACCAACAATAGTCAAAATTTTGAAGTGGAAACCTTGGTCACACTGTCATGTTTTATACTGTAACCCGGGTATCATTTAATCTTGTGTATCTAGCACTAATTTCTTTCACAATTTGATATTGAATGAATGTGAAAAAATTAGTGCTAAATACACAAGATTAAATGATACCCAGGTTACAGTGTTATTGTCTTGCATGTAACAATGTTTATATTCTTTTCGTTGAATTGTCTTGTAGAGTATGCTCAAGTCACCAAAATGTTAGGAAATGGACGATTAGAGGCAATGTGTTTTGATGGCAATAAAAGACTTTGTCATATTCGAGGAAAGTTAAGGAAGAAGGTACATGTATAACATTTTATAAAGGTATTGAAAATTGGGAAATTACTTATTGCAATTTAAGTCCAAACTTTTCATTTTAGTGCTGTAATCAGGTGTTCGGATGTAGTAGTACTTTAGTTCTTTGACGTCTGGGGGTTGGGTGGCCGAATGGTTACCGCGTATGCGTTGTATCTTAAGGTCTGTTATTGAGTCAACAGATGTGGTTTTTATTCCCTGGATGTACAGGACAAGGAGTAGGGTCGCCTGTCCAACCTCGTGCATTTTCTCCAGGTCCCCCCGGTTTCCTCCCACTGTTAAAGACCCCTACGCACAAGCAAATTATTGAAATGAAATTTAACCATATGTTAGTCCCAAAATGACATAGTTTGTGTCGTTAAACCCTCATTAGAGTCAAAAGCCGCTCTTCCACTACAACATGTCAGATCTTCATGAACAGTGTAGACCATGAAAAGTATAAAAAAAAAATGAAACAAAAATGTATTTTAATCAGATTGTAGAATGGTTTTCTCCACTATCCTTCTACTCTGAGAAGACTAGTGTTTAGAACATGCTAGGTCTGTCTGACCGTGCACACCCCAGCCCACCCTTCTTCAACTGTCCTGTTATTCTGGGTTGGTATATGACGTAGATGTCTTCATTGTAGAAGAGTGTTTATATGTGGGACCAGCTCTTACATTGCTATTCTACTTGACATGTTTGATCTAAAGAAATTACATTTGTATGGTACACCAAAGTCTGCATTTAGTATTATAGATGTAGTTGTCTGGATTAGTTCATCTATATTTTGATTGACATGTGTGACTATTTCAGGTGTGGATAAACACGGGTGATATCATATTACTGGGTCTTCGAGACTATCAAGACACAAAAGCAGATGTCATATTGAAATTCACCCCTGATGAAGCCAGAAACTTAAAGGCGTATGGAGAACTTCCTGAATCTAGTGAGTAGATTAATTGTTGATATTATTATTATGTAAAAACTACATCGCTTGTCTGTTCAAGCCAGGATCGATTTCAAAATATTGTCTCTTGTCTGTCTGTGTCTGAATGGAAGTGCTCTGAAGTACAGGGTAATCCCAAAAAAACAGAACCCATAAAAATTTTATTAAATCCTACAATCTTTGAAATTTGCTGGAATTAAACTTCAGTCTTTCAAAAATATGCCCCAAATGACCTCCGCGGTGTTGGAGACAAATTTACATATGACGTGCAAAATTGTCAATTATTCGAACACATTCCTCTTTGTGGATTGCTGGACCTTTGTAGGATTTGTTTTTTGGGGGTCACCCCATACCTGTGCGATCCCTTAAAATTTTACATTTCATCTAGACAGTTACGATCAGTTAATCAGAAAAAACTTTGTGTTCCTCATTGAAAATTAAAGATGTTTAGTGGTCGCTCTTTCCAAAAGTCGCTTCATCTACAAAATGGAACAAACTACCATAAAATCATCACAGAATTCTTAACTTAATAAATTCAAATCTGACTTGAGAACTTATCTGTTTGAATTACATTATTAGAGACTAGTGTATTATGCACCGTGAGCACGTTTTGTGGATATAGTGCTTAATAAATAGATTTGGGGACGATGGATGGCTGAATGGTTAACACATGCATGCATTATCGTAAGATCTGTCATTGAGTCAACTGGCGTGGTTTCGATTCCCCGGTTGTACGTGACAAGGAGTAGAGTCGTCTGTTCTGTCTCGCGAGTTTTTTCCCGTTTCTTCCCACTGCTAAAGACCCCTACGCGTAAGTGAATTATTGAAGTAAAATTGAACCATATGTTACTCCCAAAATGACCTAGTTTCTGTCCATTGGATGTTAAACTCCATTTCTTTTTCTCTTTATAAATGGGGGATCACGTGGCTAAGTGGGTAAGACGCTAGCTCGCTAGCCTGGAGGTCGGGTGTTCGATCCCTGCATTGGCCGAGAAAGAACATCCAGATTTTCCGGCATGGTTCTCCCTTGTCAGTGATGCAGGACGGAGGGGCTGACAAGGAAAGTTGTCTAGTTGTTCGGATGGGACGAAAAACCGAGGTCCCGTGTACACATTGGCGTGCACGTAAAAGATCCCTTGGCAGTTGGAATTCGATATAAGAGTAGGCCGTAGTGCCGCTGTCCGGGCAAAATTTCCCTCATAGCACACTGTATGGCATATGCCCGTCTTCATTAGCCCAGGTTAGGAGCAGAAAAGTAGGACGTTAAACTCCATTTCATTTCATTTCATTTCTCTTTATAAATGGGCACATTATTATTACTGACTCAAAAAGACTTTGTCATTGGTGTATAAAATTAAGGCAATACTTTGCTTTTCATATGCAAGATATTTTTTACCTGTGTGATAAACTGCTGATGATTTCATTTTCATGATCTATGCCAGTGGTTCTCAACCTTTTTTGCCAACGGCACACCTTGGAACACATGAAAAAAATAGCGGCACACCTGGCTAAATATATGAAAAATATTTAATTTTTGCAAAAAACAAAAAAAAAAACATGGTAAGTCAGACGGCATACAACCATAGACAGAGACTAGTCATAGAAACATAGAATGACTCAAACTAAATAAAGAAAACACAGCTATGAACGTACCAGTAGACACCAGTGAATACTCAATTGGGATCACATGATTTTTCGTATTTTCTTAGTGTGCCGTTCACTATGCTGATATATATATATATTTAAATGTATCTGTATAATAATACTGATTATTTTTATTTCAGCCAAAATCAATGAGAACCAATGGGAGCCTGATCCAGATGACCATATTACCTTTGATGATTTTGATGGAGATGATGATGAAATTGATGACGTAAGTTCACTGATCTGTCTGTTAAATCTATTGAAACTTATCACAGAGTATGTGTGTATTTATATTTGTGATGTATGATTGAATTGCATTGTATCATTTTTCAAGTGGTTACAAACTGTAGAGCCTGGGTTGGATTGTTTTATTGGCAGTCATGGTAAACATTTATCTAAGTGTTTGTTACTATTAAGAAGTAAATTATGTTTTAAATTATTCTTTTTCAGATCTAAGGAATGTGTTTAATGGAGAAATAAGGTTTAGAACTTAAATAAATGGACAAATTTGTGGAACATTGTTTACATTACCTGAAGTCCAACGTGAAACATCTTCAATATAAAATATTGAAGTAAATGAAAGAAATACGTGTTTCAATAAACACAAAATAAATTGTAAACAATGAAAGATAAATATTCTGAATTTTTCAGTATTTGTTACAAACTGATATTAATAATTTTTTGAAAAATATGGTAAAAAAACATTCACACAAAACAAAACAGTTTTTGAAGTAGAAAATTCAGTAGTAAAAGCGAAATATTGCAATTTTAAAAATTATTTTTATGAATCATTAACAATTTCTGATTATTATATTGATATATAAAATTCATTTTTGGTAAATTTTTTCTTTTTTTTTGGGTTGTAAATGTAGGGTTATTTTATTTTGTTACTCTTTAATATTTGTTTAATAATGTTGGATCTATTTCATATTAGTAATTATAATTATTGATTAATATTGTGTGTGAATGGTGTTTCAATTTTATTCCTGTTTATTTAAGCCCCATGTATATAGACCTATTGGGGGGGATGTCATATAGTTCAAATTTTTCATTACATATTTTAAGAATACGGTTTTGGTTTTAGTAATGAAAAATATTGACTTTCTTTGGAAAAATACCCCAAGAAATTTAAAAAAATTGCTACAATCGGAAAATGGTTGAATTAAAAATATTAAAGCATTGTTTAATTTTCAGAAGTTGAATCGTAATATGGGATCACCGAAGCTATTTATCTTTTCTTATTGTATAATTTACGTTATTGCTGAGATTTTATAACCTCATAAAATATTATATTGTCTTTCTTGTGTATGATCGTTGTTATTATAGAGCTAATCTGTCCAGACATTTATTCAAACAAAATTGCTTATGATCCATACTTAAATAGATGAAATCATATTATTAGTAATCTGATTTAATGTATTAAAATAGTCTGTTTATAGACACATAATCACATCAAGCTTATTAGAGTCAATTATGAACCATATCTAGATATGGATAATGGACTTTACTAGTTCTTCATTCTTGAATGTGACTTGTTAAATGTCAACATTTTCAGGAATCGTTAGACAGTTGATATAGAATTGCAGCATACTCACGCCCTTCTGTTAGTGGGGAAACACTACATATTGCTGTCCTGGTCATGATTCCAGTCCAATATTGTATCATTTGTATTTTACCAAAAGGGGGGTGGGGGGTGACCGAATGGTCTAACACATGCGCTTTAGATCATAAGGTCTGTCATTGAGTCAAGCGACATGGTTTCGATACAAGCTTCTACGTTACAAGGAGTAGGATCGCCTGTCCAACCTAGTTTCTTCCCACTGCTAAAGATGCCTATGCGCAAGTGAATTAATGAAATAAAATTGAACCAAATGTTCACTTTTTTTTTTTTTTTTGGATTAAACTGAAGTTTATGAACACATAGTCAGTTATATCTCAGTATTGGATTTATCTACAGACATACAATTTTGAACATATTGTTATTTCAAAACTATATATAATCAAAAGTGATAATTTTATTTTGAACCAAGTCAATGAGGGAGTGCTAATTTGAGTTAATTTAACCAGAAGACTTGTAAAACTACCTGTTTTTGTTGTAATAAAAAAACATGAGAAAAAAAAAGAAAAAAAAGAGAAATTATAAATGACATACATACATGTATATATAGCGTAACATTTGAACTGGTAATCTTGTGCTGTTTTCTTGGTCATTATATTCTTAAATGGATTTTTTTCTGATTCAATATAAAATAAAATAAAACAAATTTGGTAGAATTTAAAAGTGTCTGTTGTAACCATTAATACACATCATCATGCTATTTGCCAATCTGTTTCACAGAGGATTACGAAAATCTTCTAATATCTCTGTAAAAGATGACTGCCATCAACACGTATGTCACATCACGTGGCTCAATGGCGTGTGCATTGTTTACATAAGACGCTACTGGTTCGGGCGGAATGGTGCCTTTTACTCATTTTAATACCCATTTACACTAAATAAGAAATAATTTTTACGTACAAATACTTCAAATGTCTTTATTTTAATTTTTCTAATACATTAAAAAAAAATGTTTTAGAATTTAATTTGTTGGAGGAAAATAGTTAATATTTTTAGCTCATTAAGTGTTGCATCGATGTCATCCTTATCAGTGATTGTAGCGGCCTAGCGAATATTCAGTGATAAGATATTTTGTGTCTGCAATCCAAGTTTTCAAAAAAGATAAAAGGAGTTATCTCCCTTTATACAGTGTACACTAGTTTCATCATTATTTCTTATTTGATAATGCGAAAGCCTTCTTTCTGAGAAGTGGTCGATCAAATATTTACTGTGGATCAGTTCGCAATATTTAATCTGTTTGCCACAACTTGCACACGTTTGGTGGATTTGTCTCATTGACTGATGGTATTATAGAAATATATGATTACAAAGAAGAATATGAGAAAAAAAGATATGACTAGTTACGGAAAACTGGTTCTAAAAAAACAAATATTAAAATATGTAATTGGTCAATTTTGCGGGGGGATATTAGTCAAGAATCCAAGAAGATGAGTTGAATTGACTATTCGGGTTTTGGTGAGTATTCTTGGTTCAGAGGTAGAGGGATAACATAGCAATGAGGTTGGTTACAGTGATGTTAGGCGGATGCTTGTATAGACCGGGAGCCCAGGGGGTCAACCTAGCTGAAAAGTGTACCAATTTTCTCCTATATGGTATCAATGTATGTATATCTGGTATCATCAGAATGTAAGTCTGACGGGTTTCTGGTGGTGGTTGTGGTATTCCACGCCCAAAATGTCATGCCTCCCAACTAGTCTAGATTAGTTCAAAAGTGTACCACATGAAAATCGCACAGCAATGTACCGTACATATTCAGGTATTACAAAAACACGGATATTTCTAGTGGTGGGGTACCCCTGACAGAGCTATGTAATTGCTAGACATTTGTAGTGATGGAGTATCCCTGACAAAGAGTTATCTAATTTCCAGACCAAAGCTAGGCTAGATTAGCTGAAATCTGTACCACCTAAAACAGCTTTGGAGTTGTTCAGTACCACCACAAGAGTCATGAATGACCACTGCCAGACAGTTTCTGTGGTGGGTTACCCCAACTAGGCTAGCTTCGCAGACACTGTTCCCGTGTTCTAAAAAATTAGATTTTTTAGCCAGGATGCGTAGGATTCTTATACCTAGCACGTATGGAAGAGGCCATAAACTGCGATTGCAAGAATTTGATTTTTGGGCAAAAAACATTTTATGGGGCTGAAAAATAAAATTGTTCCTACAACCGCAGTTTATCGCCTCTTCCATATGTGCTAGGTATTAGTATTCTATGCATCCTGGCATAATTTTTAATATGTTGGACCACAGGAACAGTGCCGACTAATTTATCCTAGTTGGGGGTCGTGTTATTTTGGGCGTGTCTGTTAGAGGCAACCCACCGCACAAACTGTCTGGCAGTGGTCATTCATGATTCCTGTGGTGGTACTGAACAACTCCAAAGCTGTTTTAGGTGGTACAGATTTCAGCTAATCTAACCTAGCTTTGGTCTGGAAATTAGATAACTCTTTGTCAGGGATACTCCATCACTACAAATGTCTAGCAATTACATAGCTCTGTCAGGGGTACCCCACCACTAGAAATATCCGTCAAGAGTGTTTTTGTAATACCTGAATATGTACGGTACATTGCTGTGCGATTTTCATGTGGTACACTTTTGAGCTAATCTAGACTAGTTGGGGGGCTTGGCATTTTGGGCGTGGAATACCACACCCACCACCAGAAACCCGGCAGACTTACATTCTGATGATACCAGATATACATACATTGATACCATATAGGAGAAAATTGGTACACTTTTCAGCTAGGTTGACCCCCTGGGCTCCTACTCTAGTATGTTTACACTATACTATTTCAAATCTGCATCAAGGACAGCTGTCTCGTCGTTCGAAAACCGACTTGGTTTCCCCTTGTCATTGCTGCAGGACAGAGGGTCTGACAAGGACAGTTGTCTAGTCGTTTGGGTGGGATAAAAAACCGATGGCCTATATATACATGTAGATTGGCATGCAGGTCTTCTTTAGCCCTGTCGGAGTGGGACGTTAAACTTCATTTCATTTCAAATCTGTATACAATGTATATCGCAAAATTTCAATGGTCAACCTCATAATGCCACACCAAATAACATGAGATTGATTGGTAAATATTTTTGGAAAGAAAAATTAAGAGATTGTGTCTGATTCCAATCATCATTATATTGTATAAAGAGTACTTGTGTATATTATGAATTTTTCTCAGGGGTGCACCAAATATAGGGAATATCATTATAAAATGTTTAAGAAAAAATAATTTGGACCAATTTTAGAAGAGGGTTATCTCCCTTCACACAATTCTCCAATTTGGGTTTGTCGCGTTTATCCCGAAACAGAATAAAAATATACAAGAGAGAGAAATGGAGTTTAACGTCCACTCGACACTAACTAGGTCATTTCGCGACTAACACATATTTCAATTTTATTTCAATAATTTGCTTGTGTGTAGGGAGTTTTAGCTGTGTGGGGAAACCGGAGAACCCAGAGCGAAAACACACGAAGTTGGACAGGCGACCCTACTCCTTGTCACGTACAACCGGGGAATCGAAACCGAAAATATACAATATCACCAAGAATTACGAAACAATAACATTTGAAAACATTCAGATTCGTGATTTTTGTAAGCATTGATTTCATTTTCATCATTTTTTAAATCCTCTTTTACGCGCGATATTTTTTTTACATCCTATAGAAATAGATATATGCGATGTATAAAATGAACATATAGGTCTAGTCGTATACTGGTCTCTTACTATTACAATCGTAATTTTTGGACATGTTTACCAAAATATTAATTGTCAAGTGAAGGGTCTCGAGTAAAATTTATTTGGTTGTTAAAGGGGCTAAATCGCTAATATTTGGGACCTAGAAATTGACACAAATGGGTCGCAACGCATATAATAATGTAATATGAATGTATTTAAACTGATTTACATTCAAAAGTTTCTGTTTTTACTGTAATTTCTAAACAGTTATGTTCGCCGAAGATGCCAGAAGTCTCAATCGAATGGCAAACTCTAGCGTCTGGTTATTCCAGTATACACCGATAATATTTATTGCGCATGCTCTCCAGATAAGAATATGGACTCACCGTTTGACATGACTTGCGCAATATGCCTAGCCTGGTTTATCGAGTCCCTGAAAAGCATTATGGTACACGATTCGTGTATCAATCGTAAAATGTTTATTTTGTCTTAAATATTGGATATCAGAAGTCCATCTTTGCCCGGTGAGATCATGACATCAATGTTGATTTAAATTGACAAATAATTCGTGTATTCAATGTCGAAGATTTTGGATGATATTGAGTTAGAGACTTAGCTACTTTAATCCATTGATACAACGCAAGATTTTGTAACGATACACCAATAGAGCCAGCTTAGAAGGAAGCGCCAAACCAAATGACCGTAGTTCCGAAGTTCGCGAGTAAACCAGTTAGATTACATTCAAATGGACGATGTTTCTTGTTCGACGTCCCGTCCTGCAGCACCGATAAGGAGAAACCAGGCGGGAAAATCCCGAGGAGGCGTCTCGGCCAACCCCTGTACAACCTACGTAGCGAGCGAGCGCCTTATGGCGCTCTCACACTCTGCCGTGTAGGCCTACCGTCCACCTGCCGGGCTATTAAAAACGTTGGGTTTTGAGCGAACTTGTCCCCGGCCGCAAAAAAAAATTAATCTTTTCACCGTTTCGTTGCCATCTTCTGACCGTTGTCACTGGGCGCATACCGGGTGTTGAACGTGCTTCTACCGTCTTCACCGCCCAGATTGACTTTTGTTGAAAATTTCGGCCGTTTCCATACCGGGCCCATACCGGGTCTCGAACGTGTGCACCGGGTTTGTAGCAGCCACCTACCAGTCACTTAGCGTCCCCTTACCGCTCGGAGCGTCCTGTGAGCGAGTCCCCGGTATCAATACGACCATGACACGTTCACAACCCGCTTACAACCCGTTGCAGACGGTGGATTTTTTTTGCCCGTTCATCACCGTTCTGTAACTGTTTATGAGCGTGTTGTGAACGTGTTCATACAGTGTGACCGTTTTCATAACGTATTCATACCGTCCTCATACCGTTCAACACCGTCCTCTTGCAGCGTTCTTGTGGCCGGTGCCAGCCGGCCAAAGTTTTGAACATGCCCAAAACTTTCGCCGGGTCCCACCGGGTGTAAATAAGCGCCAACGCCCTATTAACGTGTTGCCCGCTTTGATAACGAACCACCGTGTGCCCTCGTCGTTCTCCACCGTCCGCAGACATTTTCGCGCACGGTGGCACACGGTAGGCCTACACGGCAGAGTGTGAGAGACACTTTACTCACCGAAGCCTACACGTGGCCGTAACTAGCTCAGAGCAACGAGGGGGACGGGGAGTGTTTTCAGGGGTGCTGTAAAATTGACGGACAATGTATATATTTATTTTTTTAATGGTCGACAATCATTTCATAATGGTTACGGGCCTTGGGCTCCAAGACAATTTTGCATTTTTTAGCACACTGTTACCTAAAATTATATACATTCTGGTTACCATTGATAACTCATCTTTTACGCCTTTGATGCGCCCCACAAAGCTTCATAAGGAACCAAATATTTATCATGCAATAGCCAATACCCTCACCCCCACCCCGATATTTGCGTTTTTGATCCCGTTTCCTATTAGGTCTATATATGCATCAACTGCACTGGGCAGGCGAAAACC